CATAAGGAGATTCACAGATGTTCTCTGGTTCGAGCAAACCGTTTTAACGCCCATGAAAATTGAGGGGATTTATCGCAAAAGCGGATAGCGACGAGCCTCCGATTTTTACGAATTCGTCGTCGATCGATTTACTCCGCGTTCGCTTTCGGGGCTGTCAATGGCAGACAACTCCACTTTTTTTTTTACTCTCTTCACGGCGGAGAAGAATGTCTCGGTTCGAGCAATTGTCAAAGGCAGAATTAAAACGGGGTCGATTAGCTTCAGTTTTCGAGAACTTATCTCTTGAGTTCATGAATACTCTAAGATTTAACAACAAAAAACAGGATCCATAAAAAATATGCCGCATGAAAGCTCCAAAGGCAGACTTTCAGGCTTTTACCCCACACAGCACAGGGATATCCCAGGGATGTCCCTAACTGGATGACTAGTCCCCATGTCTTTATAGGATATCCTGATGACATCTTCTTTCGGACGGTTTCGGACATCTCGTAAGGGAGGTCTTCGGGACGTCTTTTAGACATCTTCAGTCGGTATCTTAGAGATATCCCTTTCGGGATATCTTTAAGACATCCTGAGTCGAATGCTTCTGGATATCCTGGAGGGGATATCTTGAAGATATCTTCAGTCAAACGCTTTTCGATATCTTGAGGAGGATGTCTTAGGGACATCTTAGGGATGTCTTTAGGCATCTTCAGTGCTCTCTGTGGCCTTCAGTCAGGTGCATAGCTTCGACGATAGATGTCTCCCGTGAGCCCTAACGCTTTTCGATATCTTGAGGAGGATATCTTAGGGACATCTTAGGGATGTCTTTAGGCATCTTCAGTGCTCTCTGTGGCCTTCAGTCAGGTGCATAGCTTCGACGATAGATGTCTCCCCACTCGGGACTAGACGTTGGAGTCTAGAAAAGATAGCTTAATTAGATAAGCAAAACAGGACTCCTTTTCATTCCTAAAAGCATGGTATGTATTCCTTTTGACAGTGGTCCCTTTCACTTTTTTAACGGGTCCGAATTTTAATTTATTCCTTTATATTCTCATTAATGATGTCTGATCGGCATGTCTGGATACAACTATATTGGTTGGAGGCCTGAGCCCAGACTGTTTGAAAGGCATAAGACTTCATCATATCATCCATGATCTCACTTTTAAAAGTGTTAATTTTCGTCCTTTGGCGATTTGTCTCCTATGATGGGGCCCCATTTAGGAACGGTATTTTCCTACCCCTTAATCGTTACTCTTCAATCGATCAAGAACTCTAGATTAGGTGTTCCTAGATAAAATATTGACATCTACGAAAGCAAAGGATTCTCCTGTGCGATAGGAAATGAGTCCATTGCGGATAGGAAGGCCCCTTCAAATACTACCTGGGACTTCTCACTTGTCCCAATGGGATATCTCTGGGACATCCTTCAGATATACTTGTGCTGCAAGAAAGAGACATCCTTGGGATGTCTTTACCTTCTGACATTGTGATATCCCTGAGATGTCCCCACAAGTAATGTCTGGGACTTGCCCCAAGGGGATATCCATGGGACATCTCTGGGATGTGCTATTTCTTCAAGAAAGGGACATCCTTGGGATGTCATGACCCATCCTTGGGATGTCATTTGGCCCAGACATTTTGATATCCCTAAGATGTCCTTACTCCTTGTCTCTGGGACATCGCACTTGTCCCAAGGTGATATCTCTGGGATATCTTTGGGACATACCTGTGCTGTGTGGGTTGTGAAACACGATAACAGAATGAGCATTCGTGCATAAGGTTTGCCTTTCTTCTCCCGTTTCAAGATCCGGAACATTTAATCGAGGCAGGCTTCAATGAAAGCGCGTCTCCCTCCGTTGTTGATACAGTAGTAACCTTTCCGCTGTCCTTTTGCAAGCAAGAGGTAGCTCTGCCTTTGCTATAGATTTCCTGAAGCATTCGAATTGCGTTCTTGGACAACAGAGCTTGGTGGAGCAAGATGTCTTGAATAAATACAGGTAGGGTGAGATTTTTTCGTTCATGCACATTAAGTATGTACACTACAGTAAATATTTTATTGCACTGAACTTGTATCGAACACATACGCTGTGAAAAAGACGGTAAGTCTGCTTCTTTCTCTTGCTACGCGGAAGAAATTTCTGAGCATTACAAGCCAAATCGGATTCCAGCGACAGTTCTTAATAAGAGCATATCTTATTTTTGTATTGTAATGCTGTTTAATGCGTTTCCTCCTTCATCCCGCAGATTTTGCGCTAATACGAAGCAATGCCGAGCTTCTCACGCGGAGATTCGGCGGTGATGAAGATTTTGTGAGTCAATAAGAGATGGGGAGCCACAAGAATGACCGAGGAATTTCGCGGGAAAACGGGGGGAAATAATTGGTCTTGAAGGCTGGAAAATTTATGAGATGGGATCAGCGACTCGTAAAGAAGGTAGTGGAAGACCCAGAACCCAAAGAAGTGAGAACACAGAAGCGGAAATGCGCGCGTGGAGTGAGCAGGATCCACCTGGAACACAATAGTCGCTCAGAGAAATTCCAAATCTGGAATTCCTGGGAGCAGTGTGCAGACGACGATCGAGAACGACTTCAAAATGCCATTTTTCGGGAGGTTTCTTACTCCAAATTTTAGTAACCGTGGTGAAGATAAACGACCGATGCGATGCTACCGTTTCTTGCTAAGAAACCAGTTCTGCTACGAGATCCCGACGAGAACTTCTGTTGAAAATGAAAAACCCCGAGTTGATGGTCGTGTCGTGGGTGGGTGGAAGAGAAGTCGCTCGGGAAAGAATCCTCATCGGCTAGAAGCACTTTTCAGACGTCCCGAGAGGCTGGCGCCCCGTCGCACACCCAGCGCGATTCGCTTTCGCATTCCCGGACTTCATGAGACCGTAAGGATTCTTTCTTAACCCAGTTCACTATTTCGAGCGGAGTGCAACGATCGAAAATGTTGACAGCCGTCGGAGCGCCCGTGAGCCGAGATGTAGAAGGCTCGGACAGATGTCCCACAGAGAACGGTGGACCGATGTCGCATAACATCTGCTCCTACTCAGTGGCGTAGCGTGGTTGGCATGGGCCCTGGTGCAAGGAATGAAACGGGGCCCTCTTTTCAATTGTGAGTCTTTTTTTTTTAAATCGATTTTCTCCGGCAGCTTATAAATCGTCGTCGGTAGTGAAGTCAGTGTGGAAGGCAGTGGCGGATGCAGAAAAATTTCATAGTCCTCTGTCCTATCGCCTATTTCATTTATTGTCTGGGGTTAAAACCCTGAATATCTATTTCACAGGAGCTAATAAACATTAATTTATGTGCTTTCTACATTTAAAAATAGACTTGGTTAGAGAAGGGACAGTCGCCTCCCCTCCCCCCTGTTGCTTTACGCAAATACTTAGTGTGTTAAATTTCTTTCGAGGACCCCCTGGAAAAGTGGGGCCCAGGGCAACAGCCCCCTTTGCCGCCCACCCCTTAATTTGGCCCGGGATGAACGGTATTGGAAGTGGCCACCACTTCATTTGACCACACGAAGCGGCGTCCCAGTTGCGAGATGCCTCTGTGCAGTGTCGCGATCCTTTTGACCTTCCTTTTCGGCTGCTGGCTCTCACCTCGTCTCGATGTCAAGGGGCTCCCAGCTAACGCCCCCCCCCCCCTACCTTGCCCCCTCTTCGTAGCTCGGCATCTGCGGCCCTCTGGCCCGTGGGCCCCGGTGCAGTCGCACCGCCTGCACATTCGGTAGCTACGTCACTGCTCCTACTAATTAAGTCTCGTCATCAAAGAAAATGAAGCACAATCCTTTCACCCTGGTTCGTATTTTCTGAGCTAGTTGCACCAGAAGCAATTTGCAGAAGACTAGAGCTCGGATTGTGCTTCAGGGCAAGAGTCGCATCTTCCAATTTCCCATCTCCGTGAAGAGAAAGGGTGACAGGCACCGAATCCGTTTAAGCTAAACTAATCTGATCTCACAATGGTCCTCTATGGAAATCGGTTTAACCGAGATAAACTTATTCTTATAGACGCCCATTATGAAAACGAATCAGTTTGAAGTTAAACGAATCTGGTGCATGTAACCCAAAATGTAAAAGTAACCTGCTATCATGTCCAACTAACAAGATGAATGACGCCATCATGTCGGATTTTCTCTTTACATCTCCCTTCTTTTTCGTTCTAAAACTTATTAATTTTTCCTGGTCTTCCTTTTCTCCATCACCTCTGACGCTGTCAAACCCAGGTGTAATAAAAACTTGATTCGATTCGATTCGACTACTCAGCCAAAGGCTCTCCAGTCTATCGCCACAAGATATGGAAGAACACGAAAAAAAAGACAGAGGATTCGGTAACCATTTTCTCATGCTTTATTTTTCTGAAAAATAATTCAGCATCGTGGCTCTTTTCCTCTCAGTAAACATCTGGTTTGATGGGACTTTTTTTTTTCTCCTCTTCTCCATCTCCCGAGGAACAGCTAGGTTGTTATATGTACACACCGATAACAGAGATACAGTCGACAAGGGGGCATGAAGGAAGAGAAAGAAAACATCTGCCTTCAAGATGGGACATGAAGGAGACATCACATTTCTTCTCAACGGCAAAAAACCATCATGCGATCCTCACTAGGAAAATAGAAACACCTGAGGATCACAACAGATCGGGCGGGGATCGGCCCAACGCATGACTTCCAGTGGTATCACAAACAATAACACAAGAAATGCAGCATCGCAGAGACGTGGCTTGCTAAAAAAAAAAAATAAACAAAAAAAAAACACAGCAACACCACGTGACACTTCGACACTTCCGCAAACACGGCAGGGACCCATGAATGTCCCTGGACAAAAAAAAATAACCCACTGAGAGAAATTGAGCAACAAATCCAGACACCCCAGCGAATGTGTCAGAATGGACCCCAACCCCCCTATAAAAAAAACCACAAGTCACCATCGAGATCTTGGAGAAGAAATTAACAAAGAAATTCCTCCATTCAAGAAAGACAATGTGATGAGGAAAAAAATATCCTCCTGAGATTTTCTTTTTTGCTTGAATGAAAGAACGAATGAGAGAAAGAGAGAAAAAAAAAAGAAGAGGTTGTCCTAATCCTCATCCGATAGGGGTTCGTACTGAGAGGAATATATGGGGGTGGGTTCTCGAGGTCGAGAACCCAAAGAGGTGGCAGGGGGAGGAGGAGGTGGAATGGGCGGCGGAGGGGCAGACGACGGCGGTCCGACCGAAGACGCCGAAGACGCGTTCGCCATGGGCCGCACCGACAGGGCCGAATAAGCGTACCACGAAGGCGGCATCCCGCCTCTGTACATCGAGTACTGCGGCCGCATCTTCGGGTCCGCGGAATTTGCCTTGAGATCCTCGTGCGGGGAGAGGAGTTTCCCCTCGTCGATCACCATCTCTCCCGATTGCGGCGAATCCGGCTGACGCGGATCTGGAGACGGGCGGGCTTTCTTCCGGCTCATCTCTTCCGATTCCGACCCGCCTGCATTCTCTTCCAGGCTCCTTTTGCTGCTCCGAGATTCATCGCTGGGTGGCCGACTTCCCGGTCGAGCCGGAGATGGGATCAGGTTCCGGTGGGGCGACACCGGGATCGGGGTCCGTCGTTCGCCCTTCCCCGGAGGATTCATGGGAAAACGCTTGTCCTCGGGCGAGACCTCCGACGTCCGCATCACTTCTGCTATCTTGTTGCTCACGTAGTCGTAGATCTGCGGTCGCGGAGACGGATGCTCGGGCGCGGGATACTGCGGGCGACGATCCGGCATGTTCCTGACATCGACGTGATTGGAGTCGGGCAATGGGGGCGATATCGGCTCCACCCGGTACGGGGTGCCGGCTTTCATGTACGGCGAGTACGCGGAATGCGGCGGGTAGAGGGGTTTTCCGGCGCTCGATGCGCTCGACTGTGCGATGCGGATGATCTGTCTCTCATCTGGTGCATACGGTTGAGCCGCGTTCCTCTCGTTGTGCAGCGCCTTCTGCAACTTCCACGCGTAGACGTCGCTCGGCTGGGGCGGGGGAGGCGGAAGCCCCGAACGCATCATGCTGTTTGGCACCTCCTTGTAATACGGGTGGGTCATGTCCTTCTGGATGATGTTGTCGATGTGCTGTTGAAGCGTTATACCCGACGGGTGCTCTCGCCTCGCTTTTTCTTCTTCGCGGGCGTGGATGGGATCCCGCTCGTTCCTCGGAGCAGGGCTCTGGATGCGATGATCCGGTGGAGGAGCCATACCGCGAGGCGGAGGAGGCATCCCGACGGGTCCACCCGGCTTCCCCGCGTACTTACTGAAGAACTCCTGAGTGCTCCTATCCGGGTCGCTCTTGCCCTGGTTGATCTGATGCGTGATGATGGCATCGATGAGGTTAGCCGCCGTCAGCTGATCGCTCCCCGACGCCGGGATCTTGGAGCCCGGACGGGGCATTTCGTGCGGCGGAGGGTAGGCGCCCGGCGGATAGGGGAGACGCTGCATCTCCTCTTCGGATTTCATCCGGTAATGAAGATCCCGTCTCTCTCCCGTCATATACGGCGACGAATTCACCTTCCGCAGATCCATGGACTCGGACTGCTTGAGCCGCCTTTCGTACTGCTCTCCCCCGTACGGAAGCTTGTACTTGTCGGGTGGAGGAGGGGTGGCGGCAGACGGTTGGGGCGGAGGGGGGATCGAATGATACTTCACACCAGGGGGAAGATGAGGGGAATACTGTCTCATGTCAGGGGGGCGTCCGGTGGAGCTGGGTGCCGGCAGCTGGTGATAACGTCTCGCATACTCGGCCAGGCCGCGTTCTAGTCCTTCGCGTTCTCGTTCTTCCCGTCGATCGGCCTGAGCGACGGCAACGTCGACCAACGCGGCGAGACGTTCGTGTCCGGCCTGGTACACTTCCGCGTTGCGAGGAGACTCGGATCCCTTGATCTGGGCTGGGTAGGGCTGAGGACCCCTGATCACGCCTTGTCTCGCGTTCCAATCGACTCGATTCTCCTTCACCGGAGTCGAAGTTGCCGCCTGCGCGTATCTTCCATCCGATGTCACGTACACACCTCCAGGATAGTATATCGGGTAGCGAGGATCCAGGGGCATCGTCACCGCCGCCGCCGCCGCCGCCGGCCCCGTCCGCTCTCGGTGCTCCGACTCCGGACGCGGAGACTCCTTCTCCCGTCGGGACAGCATCTGCTGCGAGGTGATGTAGTCGTTCATGATGATCTGGCGGGAAGAAAGCTGAGAGTCGGAAGTATAGGGGCGTTGCGGCTGAGTCGTATAAGGGTACGGCGGGTACTGAGCGGGATACGGAGACGAAACGGGAACGGCTGCCGACGACGGAGACGGGCGGCGATAGAACCCTTCGCCCCCTGGGGGTTTCGCTTCTCCCGGATGCGGTTGCTGTCCTTGTTGGGATCGCGGAGTGCCGTGACATATGGAGCCGGTGACGTCTCGTTGCTGCCTCGAGAGGGGCGCCATGGGAAGGATGGGGCCCACCGGGGACTTATGAGACTGGGGCGAAGGTGGAGGAGGGACGACGACGGCTGGAGTTCCGTGCGTGATGGAACCCGTCACCGGCCGCACGGGGATCTTTCCCGGCTGCTTGGAGACCGGCGAGGGGACGACGAGCTGCGGGGCTGCCGAAGGAGGAAGAGCGGGCTTGGCTATAGGTTTCACTGGAACGGGAGTTGGAGTGCGCAGAGGGGCGAACGGCCTCGGGGAGTGGTTGCGGGGTGGAGGGTATAGCTCCAACGATTCCGGGGGTCGAGAGTACTGGAGGCTATTACAATGCGCGGGAGGAGGTTCCGAAGTGGGTGGAAGCGCCGGAGACGGACGACGGAGGACCAACGGAGCTTTGGCGATGGTGCGAGGAGGCGGCGGGGAGCCCCTCTTCTTCACGCTCAAGTCCTGCACTTCACCTATGGCGTCTTCCGCGGGACCGGGCGACGATGCGGCGGACGACATCGGTGGTTCGTTCTGAGGTTTCGCCAGGCCTTCCAGGCCGGGCGGTCGGAACAAGGTGCCCGACGACGGCGAGGGCTTCAAGATGGAGGAGAGCGTGGGCGAAGAGACCGGAGGAGGCCTGGGGCTGTGGGGCCGCGTCATGGTCTGGTCGATGGTCCCCTCGATCACGTCCTTCAGTCTGATGGACTGCGACACGGGAGGCGGAGATGCGTCCGGGAGTCGCTTCGGCTGCATCATCATCGTCGTCGTCGCCCCCGTCTTCTCCCCTACCGGCACGCACTCCGATTTCGCGTCCGACTCAGCCGAGATCGAGGACGAAATCGACAACGCCAAGGGCTTCTGTAGGGAGTCGTCAGCTTCCATCATCTGATGACCCTCGTCTGCACTCGCCTACACGAGCACACGAGATGGTATCGATTAGCTCATTACAAAATTATTCCACATGCCATAGGATTTCAAGTTTTCAGATGAAATGAGGTGTGACGTTGGGGCACGCCTTTAGCTATTTCATCGGACGCGAATTCATAGCAGTTTTATGGATAGTATTTAAGAAATCAAGGATTCTTTAGATAACGATGGGGATAACGATAACTAATATTTAAAAAATAACAAAAAATAACACGGAAAATCAAACATTCTTCGATCCATACCGTGGCAGAACTATCGTATTCCTCCTTCAATGTAGGTTTTTTCCCCTCGGCTTTGCAGCTGCTCTCTTCTATACCCTCCATGGTCTCTAACTTCACATCAGAACCTGAAAGGGAATTCAGAACAATTATATACAAACCTTATGTGTTAGAGCTCGAGTGAGAGTGAGACAGTGAGAGAGAGCGAAATTGAGATATGACATTCACAGAGAGCACGAAGTCCGTCATAGTATTCTTACCATTCTCCTGCTTCTCTTCCTTGATCATGGGACGAGGCGACCCGGAGGCCGAGGCAGTGTCGGAGGAATCGTGACCTTTTCCACCGCTGCCCTTGTTCTGGTCGCGACTGCTCCCTTCGATGGAACTGGTGCTACCGGATTCTTCCTCGTCGGTGACGGACGGCGGCGGAACGAGGCCGGCATCGGCCTGTCGCCTCTTGAATGCGGAAACGGCTGCAGATAGCTCGGGCTTGTCCTTGTTGGCCGAGTAGAACTTGCGGCATTGGAGCGGGGTCTTGCGGGCGTCCAAGGCGGCTGACATCTTCGACCAGTCCATCCCGTTCTGGGCCAGGGAAACCCGTGCCGTCTCTATCTCTTCGTCAGTCCAGGACGGGATCCCGTTGGTCCCGGATTCCGAATCCAGGCCGCCGTTCTCCGTCTGACTGGAACCCAGGCGCCGCGACAGGCGGTGGAAGCACGCCGGACAGCATCGGTTCACACCATGCGGAATCTCTGTAACGACATCATTCGTCCGTCTCGTCACCACTACGTCACGTGGCTGCGCGATCTTACTCTGACTCCTCGCGGCAACCTTCATCCATTTCATTTAATCGTTTCGAAGACTCACGTTATTCCACGAACATCGCATGATATTAATGTAAAATACCAGACGAATTATGACATATTCGGCAGTTGCGTATACTACACACGTCAAGTAGACTTGGCACGTCTACTCACAAGTAGAAAAGAAGACAGCTCACTTCATGATGGTCCCTTGCAACGCTAAATCCAAAGCATTACCGTGGGAACCCCACTCATGATCCTTTTAACCAAAGTCATCAGTTGAGTTGCTGGGTGAATGGATGTGAGAAATTGCTTATCACAGAAGGGTATTAAGAAAATAATATTATATATAATATTAAGAAAATAATAGAATATTCTATCATTCTTTCGCCAATCTGTCATTCGTAGGGAAGATTACTGTTACATGAAAACAAAAGAAAAAAAAAGACGTACTGCTGAGTTCTGAGCATACCATGTTAGTCAAACAAAATCTCGGAGGAGAGAGACGGAGAATAAAGGTAGTAATAGTAGTGGAGAGGATCCGATGTGAATAACGAAACCTAGCGTATGGGCATATTGATACGTACGGAATTCCTTGATGATGGTGTCCTGCGCGTCCTTGGTAGATTCTGCCCACTTGGTCGGGAAATGTCGGAGCCTCTTCACGCGCCATTTCGGGGTCGAACATGTCGGGATCGGACATTTTGGGCAACTGAAAACGAGACAGAAAGGTTAAACTCTTGCAAAGAGTAAGAGGAGAGACGAAGGGGAAAAGGCATGTAGACGTACTGGTTGTAGCGTCGTCGGATGCAGCGGCAGCGGCAGTTGGAGCAGACACGGGCCTCAGGACCCACTTCCTCTTCCCGCAGCCCATATTGTGGAGCATCCGATGCCGATAACGGCCTCGATTGACCAAAATGTTCCAAATCCGTCTTGCACACCGCACACGGATGTGGCCCACCTTTTCCACCTGCAACGATTGCACCATACACACCGTTCGTATCATAAAATATCCAACGGAGTAAAGATGACAGAGGGGGATAAATATTTAAGTATCCCGTCGAGTTGATGAGTTGACTCAAATCTCCACTCCCTGAATAGATGGAGCTTTCACGGATATTGAGGCCCACTCATTAATTCATGAAGTCCCTGCCTCTCTCTTTCGTCAAACATCCAGATTAACCCTCCAACGATGCCCCATTATTACATTACATTGTACATACATACAATGTCACTGTCGATGAAAGGCGCAGAGCATAGCTCTGCGCCTTTCATCGAGTCCTTTCTCTGATATATTTCGTTGCACCGAATCGCAAAACAACTTCGTACTGGCATCTTCATGAATGTTAATACCAGTTTATGGAAATTGAATCGCCACGGAATAGTGTCGACAAATAAGAAAGTGAACCATGCAAAATTAACATCTATATATTGGTGAAGGATAGCTCGAAAAGATCCGGTAAGGTTGGAGAAGCGTGTAGGATGTCAACATTTTCTTTCTCATGAATGAGAGCTTCCCGAGTACGATAGCCGTGATTCACTAAGCCATATTTGTGGTAATTGGGAACTCAGGGGAGGGCCCTTGATGGAAAAAGCACTCATGTTTCGACCCTTGGTAGCGGAGAGCAAAGGCAGGGGGAGGGCACGAAAGGAGCCAAGCGCAAGCGCTCCGATAAAGAACATAACCCAGAAACCATAAATCAGGACGTTCGGTGGTGCGGAGATCCACCACCTCAGTCCGAATCATTCGACTAAGATATGGAAGGGAGGACCATGGACGTAGATGGGGACACGGTGGAAATAGCCGCCCTGGGAGAGATCACCCGCACCCTCCCTGCATCCCGCTCTCTCCTCCGACAACATTCACTCTACTTCAAGGTACGTATTTCTTTCTCTCCTGTCTCAATCCATTCTGTTCGATTGCCCTAAACTTTTGTTATGAACCTTCAGATCAGTGGTGCACAACCTTTTCCCCCTAGGGGGCCAAATTGAGATTTCGGTTCATGTTCGAGGGATGCCGAAATAGGCCGCATATAAATTTGGATCTTTAGACACCGGAGGCATCCAAGGGGCCGCAAAAAAGGTCTCCGCAGGCCGCAGGTTGTGCATCACTGCTTTAGATGGTCTCGAATCTCGAATTTCAAATTTGCGTTTCTCAGAGGCCCTACAGGAGATAACATTGTCATGTTCTTGTACATGAACTGAAACTGGCAGGAAGTGTTGGATGCGGTGGGAAATGAGAAGCGGGTGCCATCCTCCATCCCATTCCACGTCCTCTCCCAATTTCTCGCGTTTCTTCGCACCGGTCAACTCAAGGTAAGTAAACGGTATCCTTATAACAATTCATCTAAAATCATTCTTGTACTTCGTTGCCTGTTCCAAATGAATTAGCTGGTTTTGGCCTCATGAGTGCCACTATTGCTGATCTTGCGTAATTTGTTAGCTTAAGATTTGTTGATTAAATCCGCAAAAGATGAAAAGGAGCATGAAAAGGTGGAACTAATTCAGTTTTCTCAACCGTTGATCCCTCATTAGCATCAAGCCAATACGCGAGACGACCGCATAATTGAGGTTTTAAGCAATGAAATTACTTCTTTTTTAAAAATAAATGTTAACCTATCGATTCCCTTGTCTTCCGTCATCAACTTGACCGGTCCATGACGACTAACGTCGAGAACAACTGAGATAGGTTGCTAGAAGCAATCAGATAAAGGCTTTTTGGACTTGAGGTATATTGTACTCCCATACTGCTCCTTGCTTTTTTTATATTCCTTCTCTGGATACTAGATTAGAGAAGGAATAACCTACGAAAGAGGGAGGCCTCACTTCCCATATCAGGGGATATGGAAAGGACTCCTGATACGGGAAGGAAGGATCAACATTAACCAGCCTAGCGCAGTGCTACCTTTAATCAAGGGGAAAGCGGCGAGCAAACACTGAAAGGTGGACGGTTCGAGATCCCAATTATATACGATGCATGCGACTGGACATCGACTCAACCAATCCCCATATTTCCTCCTTTGTGTACTCAATCACCTGGCGAAATCTCAGTGACAAGTAGATGGAGAGAACTGTTCTATTGAAGCCCAGGGGTTGAAAAGAGAGAATGACAAAAGACATCTTCATACTTGAGTACATCTCACCGTTAACAGGAAAATGTAATGATTTGCCATTAATATGTAATTTTAGATCCGTGACGGGATCCACGCAACGCAGCTGCTGGTATGGGCGCACTTCCTTCAATGTCCTCGTCTGCTACATTACCTCCGGCTCCACCTTCTCTGTCTCCTCCCCTACCCCCTTATGCCTTGGGGCCTTCCCCTCTACCCCGTACTGCCTCCGCCTCCGCCTCCGCCTCCGCCTCCACCTGCACCTGCACCTGCATCTGCATCTCTACCTTCCCCTGGAATATACCACACCCATCCTCCAACTCTGCTTCTACCACCTCCTCCCCCTCTCTCCCACCACCAGGAACAAGGACAACACGGAATCTCTATGATGGCTACGACGGAGGTTGCAGCATGCGACGGACCTGTGCATTTCCAGCGGGTAGCGAATCCAATCTATCACCAAGGAGATGAAGATAAGGACCTTAACGCCCCGGCGATAACCACATGTAGGGATCACGGAAAGCTCACCTACAAGTGCGTTCACTGCAAGCATACTTTCAAGAGCTACTACTGCTATCAGAAGCATAAGCAACGGCACATCAACCCGGTGGCCTGGGTCGGAAACCCTACCGGTCAGGAACGCAATGTCCAATACTTCCCATGTAAAGTGTGTGGCGCCAAATTCCCTTCCTATTATTTTGTGCACAAGCACCGGAAAATTTGCCACAGGGATTAGAGTGAAAACAATGACGCAGGAGGGGACCGCCACTGCAATGAGGAATTGGTCAGCATCCACGAGGAAGCCCGCTTGACTTTAAATTCAAGGTTATTACCATAATCAAGTGATGAGTCTCTCTGCCATCCTGAGACAAGTGCCATTTATTCTCTTCTGAGTTGCTTCTTATTGTATGTGCACAGTTGATTTTATTCACCTCTTGACTTCTGATTCCCTGGATGAAGACACGATACTTATTCCCATTCTGTAATCTCTTCTTGACGGCAATGAATCTTCATCTGAGCTTCAAACTCCTCTATCCTTTATTGTCTTCAAGTCTGGGCTTGCTTAATTTGAGAAAAAATAAATTTCCAAACGGAAAAGAGAGGGAAAGGCATGATATGGCATTTCGCTTGCAGAAGACATTCCTGGGAGCAGTCTTGCACAAGGGCAAATTCTTACAACCACCTCGATAATACATAAGAGAGGAGTCAGAATGAAACAGCACCAGCTCCCATGAATTCTGCCTGGCGTCATGGCTAGTAGTCTATTCATGATCATGACAACGAAAAACAGGACGGATCATCTTCCGGAAAATAACGCGCGGAATGTTAAAAAAAAGACTATCTTTTCCCTCTTAGGCGCTTTTCCAAACGGCAGTTCAGTTGCGGTTCGGCCCTAGTTCGGTTCAGACTTTGGTCTGACTGAAGTACCACTGTCGATGTCAATCACAAAGAAATCCCAACTGAAACTGCAACTAAACTGAAATTGAGCCACTACTGAACATGACATCAGCCTAAGGGCGATGATGATTCCGTGGCTTTGGACCGGATATTTAGGTAATTCTTCCATCCATCAAGCATACAGCGTAAATCCGATGTGCAAAATTGGAAATTCGGCAGATAGGCAAAGACTTTGTGCTGCCCTTTGGAAGTTGCTCCTTTTAAATTGTCCTCTACTTAACAATGAGATTTTATATAAAGAATCATCCCAAATGGACCTTTTCCGAGATCGTCAAAGGATCTCAATATATCAAATCAGGTTCTGGAATAGTTTACTCCTTGAATAGAAGACGGTGGGACATCCTGTGGAAGTGCAAGAGAGAAGCATATTTCAATAAGAGACATTAACTTCTCTCCTCTCCAGTTCTCAAGTTATCGATTGTATCCGTATACCTATTAGGCGAAATAGGCTCAATTACGGATGAGGTCCTGTGTTCTTCAATTCATTCCTGTAAGAGTTTCAACCACTGACATAGGGTCTGACAGACCTGTCCCTAATTTTCTGAGGCACTCCCATAGATATTCTACATAATTGTACTCAGGAGTAAGAAAAAGTGATCTCCATACAGTGACATCATTAGCAGAAGATTAAGTAAAATTTAAGGAGCAACTTCCTCAAAACAAATAAATACAACGTGTCTAGCAATCTTCTGTTTCCACGTCACATATCCACATGGAGACACTCATGGAGTTCGGAGAGAGTCAATTCAAAGATTCCAGATACAGGGTTAGTATAAAGATTCTTCCCATGTTCAGTTATAATATGCAAACTATGCATCGTAAAGCTGTAATATTTGGTGTGAACACATGGGACCACGGGAAAGAGGTATACAGGGTCATCGGATATGGCCACTAGCATTTGCTCAATAGCTACATTTGCTCAATATGACCTTCCTTCATTCTAAAATTGCTTGCATTCGAGATATGCAATGATAGACGACTGATTGAAGCTGTCCAGAATCCAACGTGGCCACAAGCTGTCGTCGAACAACGATTGCATTCTGCGAAGTGATTGTTTGGGGTGGATTCACAAGCAACTTCATTATTGGGTCACATTTATTTGAGGAACTAACACACCGGATTTCCGACAGCGACAGTGACCGGCGAACGTTATCAATGCTGGAACGTGTTGTCATCCCCACACTTCAGGACTGTGGTGCCTTGTGGCAAGAAATCTCGATGCAAGATGAGGCTCCTCACATTGAACGGACAGTAAAATTGCTCTTGCAAACGTCCTTGGTGATTGGATAATCAGCCACCATTTTTAGAACACGTGGTCGCCCGACCTCACCCCAGCAGACTTTTGGCTTTCGGGGATATCTCCAGACTGTAGTGTATCGTGTGGCACCTGCCACCTTAATGAACCTCAAACATGCTATTCGCCATCATGTGGCCATGTTGGATGCTGAACAGCCTCGGTCAGTCGTCTATCATTGCATATCCTGAATGCAAGCAATCGTAGACATGAAGGGAGGTCACATTGAGCAAATGCTGGTGGCCATATCTGATGACCCTGTATTCCTCTTCCCCATGGTCCCAATAGTGTTCATACCAACTATTACAGCTTTACAATGCATAGTTTGCCTAACTGTCAGAACATGGGAAGAGAATTTATTACTAACCCTGTACATCCTCAATTACTGTACATGTGAAACCTTCCATAGGTTATAAAATGCTGATATAAATGCTGATTCTAGATATGCCAAGAACTGCAGGAAAGGTTTGTTGGAAAAGATGATAAACTTTACATATATAGGGTAAAAGACCCAGTGATGGACCGGTCCCCAGTGATGGGCCACAGCACATCAAAATTCCAATAGCAAAGCTTCCAAACCAAGCCATATGTTGTGACATATGCTAGCAGTATTCAAGCACATAGACACTTTACTCCACAAGTACCTTGTTATGCCTAGTTTTTGGAATTTTCCTGCGAAGTGGCCCATCACTGAGTACCCGCCATTAACAGGCCCATCACTGGGTCTTTTACCCTATATGCTGCTTGATTTGCTTGATGCTTTTCTGTTATTACTGAAATAGTTATCACTTGTTAGTATAAATTACGCAAATACAACGATACAGGCCAAGAATGTATTATCGTTGCATATTCACTGAGCATTTCAAAGGTGTGTTGTATCCTCAACATGCTCAAATGAGCACATAATTTGCTACTTTTCCAATTCATGGTACAGGTACTGGTAGTTTAAGGTGTAGAAAGGAGCGACTCAGATCCACCAAATGTTGGATCCACAGAAATATCCTGTCTGCATCCTTGTCCAGATCAATATCTCCAATTTTTGTGTGAATTGTAGACCATTATGGTGAATAAAGGTTAGAACCAAATTCTGATCGTTTTTGACTTTGAGATTAACTTTTTGGAGTCTGAGTATTTTGAATATGTCAGCACTGTCACGGTCAAGTTTTTTCCATACCTTGGCACTATGCCAGCACAAGATATCTTGGGTGTGAACCCCAAGGTTAATTCTCCAATCCTCAGTAGCTTGTCCAGATTGCCTATTGTATATATTCAATAATGTGATGGATCTGAACACAAAACCTATTCATATCTTAAATGAAGTGTTTCCTGAAAAGTTGTTGCATGGATCCTTGTAAGAATTTGAACACTATGCTTACTGAATTACAGTAACCTTGTTTCATATGACAAAATGTGCATAAATTATCATTCACCTGCATACTTGCATGCTACACAGTGACAAGAAATACAGGTATGTCTTCACTGAATTTTCATGTGGAAACTACAATTGCTGTGAATTAACACTAAGTGGTTCTACCAAACAGAGGGGGTTTCTCACAGAGAAATAAACACCACAGTCTTCACAGATCCCTACTCTTCTCTCTAACATTTTCTCCAATACAACAATCTCAAAAAAGATTAAGAAGAACTCCTGATGGAACATGACAAGAAGAAGCACAAGACCTCAACTGCACAGAAGCTTGCCTCTCAGAGAAGGCATTAATAAAAAATTCCTCCCTTTGATCCAGACAGATTTCCTAACAGCATACTCACAATACTCACTCAGTTTCAAGTTGTTTTTCTGGCCCTTCCTCAACATACAGTATTTGGCAGAGATGGTGAAGTTATGGTAAACATGTTCAAAATGGTATGTATTACCAATTTTGTTTACATGAAAAAGGACATTGACAAACAAGTGAACATATTTAAATACTGTAATAAAAAGAATACAAAATTATTTCATAGGTTTATGAGTAACTGAGTACAGGAAACAGGAGCCTCTTTATTTCTCTTAGTGCCATGGGCCGGTATTTCAACCTTGAAAATTTCTCACTGCTGGTTCCTTACAGGATGAAAGGATGAAAATAATGAAAAATATGTGTGAAAAAAGTATTCAGTGAATAAAGCAGGGCACTGGTAAAAAAAAATTCCCCTTGGTCAACATTATTGCTGTCATTTGTTATCATCGGCAGTGACACTTATCTTATGAACCTCATTACCCTTTGACTCTTTGAGAGTCTACTGCCATGCACAAGGATTCAGGATATGGACTATACACAATGAAACTTTGTGAAAGTTTCTGAATCTATCAGCGAAAGCAGAGAATTCCACATTTCAACCTTTTGCTGTGACTATAAAGCAGCAGGACAACTTAGGGAGTAAATGACTCATCTTGTGGTAAACTTTCAGGAAAATTGGAAAGAAAGAATAATTATATGCAAGGAAAATTTGTGACATCTACTCCAAGGTATTACTTCAATACCTTGGAGCAGATGTCACAAATTTTGTTGTGAAATCTGTTGTGAAATCCAAATTCCAAGTCTTTTGGGCAGTCAGAAAAGGAAGATGCTAAATGAGAGTAGTGTCTATGCTGCTGGTGATCAAATGCAATACTTTTCCTATATTGAGACACCACATCTTAAGGATTTTGGGGTTGGGGAAGGGAGGAATGACTCTCATCATAGCTCAGTGCATGAAGTTGATGCCTCTTCTTATCTTGTTTCTCCCACAAGATTAACCCAGCAACTTTGGCATATTAACGATCATATGGGATGCTCGCAGGTTATATGCTCTCGTATTTGCTGAGCCATAAATAGGTTGTAGCAGTTAACACGTGCTAAGAATATCCCATCATTCACCCAAGCTGCCAGTTTTCCTTAAAAGCTCTCATCATTAAAAATGTTTTAAATGTAAGTTGTAGTTTCTTGGGATAACCCACAGCATTGGTTCATTACCTTGAGAGCGGAACCTATAATTTCCTTTATGTATAAATTCAAGCATACATCTCAACAAACTAAATTGCGGGCCAAATTCATATTGATGATGTATTAAAGGACCAGGGAGTACATGTGATTAATCAGGTGCAAATATAGTGTGATTCAATGGATTTAGTTCTGCTTAACTGCCAATGGACACCTGTGATTTAACACAGGACTTTTTGTCTGAGTTTACTTTTATAATAAAAGTAAATAAATTAAATGATATAAATTGCAATTGAAAACCTAATCAACTGAGATTAAACAAAATGAGAAAAAAGCTGAACTCACTATCATAGTCGAGGTCATCGTCGGAGGAGTCAGTATCAATGTGGCCCTTGGTGCGAGCCTTTTGGTTTTTCCCCATTATCTCACCCTCCAAGCTTGTACTGCAGAATAAAATCCACTTCAGCATCCCAGCCATTTCCAAAATTGAATACATGCAAGGGAAAGTGATGTGTAAAGGGAAAATGCAAAGGAACACATGAAGAGGCAAAGGTGTTCCCAGTCCTAGGTCCTTATCTACCCTTCAAGATAGAGACATGGGGAAGGAATTGGAGCAAAGTCCCCCATGTCAAATCCTCACCCCTCAAGAGGTCATTCCATGCAGAGGGCCACAACTGAAGTACTCTTACTCCACTAAGGGTGCATATGTCCTCATCCTTCAAGGTCAAGACTTTTCAACATTAACCTATTGTATAGTTCTAGCAAAGTATGATGAATACCTTCACATGTCTCCAAGTTTAGGCTGTTCATGCTGTACTAATAAAAAACTGCAAAATGTGGATAACTGGAACCTATTTCACATGAAACACAAAACTACTTGTATATTTCGGTTCTTACTAATATAAGTAAACAATGACTAGTAAATACAACATCTCGTGAAAACTTTCATCAAGTCTTAGTGCACTATTGTGACAGTGACTTGAGTAGTGGAAATTGTTGCTAGCACCAGCAAAAAGCCATGCCATGTGCCTCACCTTTCATTTGAGATCTGTTCATACTGAGTAGCAGAGGGCTCAGCCTTCACCTTCTCCTCCACACGACTCGAATCATGAACCTCGTCACTGACACTCACAGCCATGCTTTCGGTTCGAGGCACCTGCACTTCAGACATTGCTGATGCATGGGCTTGAGCATGTGATGACGAGGTGGCTATGGCCATCTGCTCCCGTTGCATTGACCCACGAGTAGTGACTCCACCCACAGTGTCCAAAACTGTTTGGGCAGGATGACCTGTAGCAGTGCCAGGCTTCCCAACAGCCCGGGCACGGTTGCGGGCACGGCTCTTGCGCAAGAGCTGCTTATAAGTTTCCTTCTTTTTGCTCAGATAGTAGTATTGCACACAGTCATTGACAGTTTTGCGTTCAAGATAAGAGGCTACTATGCCAAACTGTTTTTGGTGCTGAAGGTAGCGTTCCTTAAAAAGTTCCTTCTCTGCATCTGACCAGACACTGATCCACTGTCGCTCCTTATAAATGGCCAAGGGGTCCTCAGTGAAACCATTCTGGTTGTTGATGTGCCGCCTCCGTTCTTTCAGTGTTACCACTGCTGGGGGTATCACAGCTAGCTGTCGCATCTTCCGCTCCTCCATCTGCCAATGCAGCACCAAGATATTCAGCAAGAGCACAGCAAATATCAGCTGAGGCACAAACAAAAATGAATGCATCCTGAATCTATTGAAACATCAAACCAAAGGGAACTTAAAAGTTATGGAGAGATTCTAACCTGAAGTCACAATCACAACTTGTTATTCATTAAAACAAGAATAATGCAACAAAAGCAAATAGCTTGAAAAACTATAGAGACACAATCTGATCGCACCTCCTTTTCCTGCAGGAAGTCCTTGATCTCCTCCATGTCAGCATCACTCTTGACCCTAGCTCCCATCCTATCAATATGAAATACCCAGTGTATCACAAAGATTGAACAAGACACAATACAAACCACACACTAAAATTCTTTGATATATGAGTGATTTTCAACTCATGATCACAAATGATCATGAGGAAAACCTTTTCATTCACTTTCATGCTCATCTATGAATTGACTAGTGCTGGATCACTATCACACACAACCATTCAGGAAGAAATATTACTTGTGCAAAATTTTGCATGATCACATGAATTGTGTCATGCAATTAACCCTCTCAGTTAAGAAAAACCTTCTTGCTTGGGCAAGTGTTGGGGGTTGAAGAAGGAGATGGGAAAAAAGGAGGTTTTTGATGAAACAGGGTTAGTTTCATTGCAAGACTAACATACATAAAAGGTTTTTCAAATATGGCATAAAAACTGACAGTTGAGACAAAGCCAAGCTGGTGAGGTAAGAATACTTTCCCTTCCCCTATCTTTATTGTTCTCATGTAAACTCACAATGAGAAAGATGATTCTATTCTTGTCAAGCTCACATTGAGTACCTTCTCCAAATCCCTGCATGAGTCACAACTCATGAAACAAATTATGAGTCATGCATATCTCAAGTGTACAATCCTGCTGCATGAACAAGATGCATACATCTAAACTGGAAATTTTATAATGGGTTAAAATTAGAAACACCTACATGGAATTACAGGCATTTTCATAGGTATCACATGATAACCAAAACAATATGCCTAAAGCAAAGAGCCCAATTCTCTCAACATGGAAGTGTCATGTTGAGTGCCACAGCAGTAAAATATCTCCAGTTTTCATGAATAATCTGTGAATGCTAAGGCACAGTGAACATGTGCCAATATGGTGATGATTTTTCTTGTGTCTAAATTAAGTTTGTTATGAGGATAAAAATGGAAGAAGGACAGGGCTTCTTTTTTTTGTCAACCATTCCCAGTTCACGAAGTCCAATACATCATAGTGAATATGTGCAAGATCCACACATCTTGAGAAACACTTCCACAAATCCAGAAACAAAAAATTGCTCTCAAATTGCAACTTCATATTATGTATTAAGATCTTGCAATAACTTTAAGAATGAATTCAGACAGTTAGATAAATGAAGTCACAAATTTTCCATTCAATGTTCATTAAAAAATTTCAGATTTGTAAGATCATGGTGAAAAAACCCAGACTTCAATAGTTTCTTAACTGACACTGAGGAACTCTGGTGTCATGAGAGTGCAGAAAATCAGGAGTAATATCACAATTAACACTTCTATGAAGAGCTATATTGACATTTGCATGTGGAGACGGGAAAATTTGCTTTAAATTAATACATAATTGTACATTACACATTCAACCACAGAAATAAGTAAGGGAGAGATACTGCAAGTCACAGCAGTCCCACAATTGGGCAAATTCAAAGGAAAGTCATATTCAAAGAAACAAGATGGAGACTTCTAGGTAACCTTACAAAAGCGCTATCCTTTCAAAGATTGTTAATAAGGGCAAATGATGTTAAACACTGACTGCCATCAAATAAAACTTCAGAGAATTTATGAGTTTATATATGGCATCTGAATGGCAGATCATACTACTCAAAAGAAAACAGGCATTCAGTGCATATTCATCATGTTCCAAGACAAGCGCAATATGGAGAACAGTAAAATTCTGCCCATTGAAGAAAAGTAGCATACCGAGAGAAGCGTTCCTTGTCTTCTCGCTGCTTCTTGAGCTCTGGGAAGACTTTCTCAAAGTGTTCACGGAACTTTGCATCCCTAGTCTTTCGCTTGAGACTGTTTTCTATCTTCTCTGTCTTCTTAAGCCATATTTTCATCAGATGGCTATATGTGTCCACTAGGTACTGATCTCGTTCTCGCTTCTCTTCCTGCTCTCTAGCCAAAAACTTCATTAGCCGTGGCTTGAATGCCGCATGTGTCCGCTTGTTCTCTTGGTACACTGGTACGTCTGATGGTTGCATATACAGTGGCTGGAAAACAAGGAAAGAAAGCATTGGAGAATTCATTCTTTGCAACCGTGATGCATTAAAATAACTGACTAGTTGCTGTGGAAACTCACAAGATCAAGGCTAGGACCAAGTTTTGTCAACTTCTCATATGACTGCTGGGCTCTTCGCTACAATGCAAAAAAATATATACATAAAAGATGGAGGGTATACTCCTGGAGCTATCCCCTGAAGGATGTCCATGAAGGATTTTAAAAATATATTAGATGAAAAATCAAACTTAAATACAGCTCAACTCACCCTATTCTCAGCATAAATTACTTGAGCGATGCTCTGATGCTTGGACTCTTTAGGAGTTTCCTCCTCATGATCCTTGTCCCCTCGCTTGGCTGCCTCCTCCAATTCTTGCTGTAAGCAAAGACAGAACAAAAACTAAGCATGATAGTACAATTCATTACTTTAATGATTCACTAAGGAAAGTTCAACATAATGTTAATTGAAACTCTTTTCAATGCCCCAATGAAGCAACAACAAGCATACTGCAAATATAAGGTATGAATTGCAGGGTTTCAATCCAGAAAAAAATGGAAGAATATGGAAGAAGGAAGTTCAAATACAAGGGCAATGATTCCAGTTCTTTCTGGATGATGATGGAAGCAGCTCAACAGCTGAAACTTAGCACAGGCATTCACAAAATTGCCTATTCCTGAATTGGCAAGTGGGTGGAGTGAGAGAGAGAGAGAGAACACGAGGAGGAGGGAGCAAGAGATGAGGGGGGACAAATTCAAAACAAGTACTGGTACAACCCACCACACTGGATTGGCACAGCCCATTACAAGTACTATCTTCTCTTACAACTCATCTCCATTCATTCATTCTCATTCATTAATATACCAAGCCAGCTGCACAAAAGAATGATAATGAGCTTGGGACATGGACTCAGATAGTATGCCAGAAATTATCAAGATGCAAGAGATGTCTCAAGTCATGACTCCAATGAGATGTTAGACTGATGCAGAACACATAAATAATACCAAAAATAATACCAAAGAAGATGCCCTATTCCCCCTATTCATGCTTGTAATCCTTGTTATCAGGGTCTTATCAGGATTCCCCTCAAGATTCTCTGTCTCATTCTGGACTTCCCCCTCATCCCTTCCCCAATACAACTCCCTTCTGGTATAAAAAAAAATTTCATTTCTACTAAATGAAAAATACAGCAAATATCTGTATAGTTTTTTTTAAATATCTCCCTCTGACATGAGAGTCTCATCTTTTTCTGCACAACATTTCAGAACAAGGGAGATTTCTGCCAAGTTTAGAGATTTTGTTCAATGCTTCAATGTGATAACTTTTAAAAGTTGAAGCATTGCAAATCACAATGAACAAGCAACCTGAGTCACTTTGCCATGCTGCAACACTAGTGAGTGCAAACAGCAAATGGTTTTAGCAATAAAATTAGTTTTTAATATATATTCTTCTCATGTGTAACTGCAAGTCCATTGCATTTTTTGTGAAAGGATTCCAGTTTACTTGACAAGGTGCTTGTCTTCATGAGCCATATACAGTTCTTAATATAACATTTTTTCCTCAAAATTATGACAATAAAAACAGCAAAAATAGAGTTAGAATTGGGGTCTAAAATAAAGATTATGAATTAGATAGTAAAAACCATTAAACCATATTAAACCATTGCTACACATGATAGGAGGTATCAAAATCAACATCTAAACTGAAAAGTTGGTATTAATCAATACCTATCAAACACTGCAATTGCTTGTACAATGTACTGTTTGATACTTTAACTTCGATTTATTATTGTATTTGAAGCACCGAATGTAATGTTTTTAAACTTGTCAGAAATCTTAAATTCATTTGAGAAGTCACGTGCAGAAAAACAAGAGGCTTGCATTATTTCATATGGTAATATTTAAGAAAAAATAAACAGGCGCCTTTTTTTTAAGACAGTACATATAATTAAACATGAATTGCCTACAGTGTTTGTTTCAGCTGTATGTTTCAGCTCTTCACAGTTTGTCACCTTCATTGTAAGTCATGTCGAAGATCATGTAACTCATTGTTACAGATTTCTAAAGAGTGACACGAATTTATTCTCCAAACTGATCCAACGACAAATAGGGTTTCTTCACTAACGGATCGTATTGTACTGCAGATGTTCTGGCCCCACAGATGGTATCCATGATAGCATCACTTTGAAGCGAAAATAGAAAGGGGTTTAGATGGGATTCATGTGAGAGGGGTACGCGGACAAACCAGGTAGGATTTCAATACTTTCCCGTTGACAGCTGTGTGAAATCTAAATCGTGTTCTCCCTGCTTCTTCATCTTGCATTATCAGCAGTAAACACTGCACAATGAGGAAGACTTCATCCTTGTTTGAGAAAGAGCAATATCCATGTCATGCTATGGGCTTACATAGACGGGCCACCAGGTGACTCTCAAGGAGAATGAAGATGAGGTGAGTCACCGGACGGAGCCGGGTGTGATGACTATGCCACAACAGCATGATGATGATTATTATGATCATACCTGCTTCTTGGTGGTTTTGGCAATCTGGGACTCGACGACAGCTATGTCTCGATCCACCTTATTGATCCTTTGCAACAGATCCTCCTTCGTCGACCGGAGACTCTCATCCAACATGGATTCTCCAGGAAGAGTCGGGGAGATAGCCTCAACTTGTGGCTGATACTGCAGCTCCTAAGCAACAAGGCAATTCACTTCATTATAGTCGGGGATACCGAAACTGTTATTCTGTGTTTGGATACAAAATCTTATTATGCCCTTTAATCGAGTGTAACACAGCTCCAAAACTGGTAAATATTCTGCATAATCAGGAAAATATATATTAATTTGTTCTAGATCGCTTCTCCATGTAGGCCTACTTCCCGAAGGTAGGGGTCACACCGACAGAACTCAAAGGTTTTTCAAGTACATCATGTGGGTCCACAAAATGTTAAAATGACAAACACCAGCAACTACACGCGCACACTCTTTCAATACAAATACCTGAAAACAATTTAAATCCATATCATCATACAGCAGCTTGAGGTTTAACTTAAACTTGCTCTGCATGTATATTGTTCGAATGTTAGTGGTCGCGTGTCAGAGAAACTAAGGTCACCAATTTGACACATGACAACTGAAGTAATAACCAAACTTCGTATAAAGTGCTCATCGTCATACGCCATGAAAGACCGCAGAGAGCATCTTTCAATAATAAAAATATTTTCTCAATATAATGTGAGACAATAAGATCCTTCGTGAATTAAACGCACGTTCTTAATGATTTTCTGAGCTTCACAAGTCACGAATACAGAGACACCAATGCAAGATGCCTGAGAAAGTTGAAAAAAATATTTCCTGGGTTGCGATAGTGGTAACATCTCCCTCCCAAGAAAAGGTCGACTCTAGCGAACGCACAGCGTGCTTGCTGATTCAATTTATTGCTGGTATAACGGAATATGCAATTCGGAGATGCGAGTCCAGCTTTTTTTCCCCCTTTCCAAAATGGAATTGGAGGCCAATGAAAAGGGAAAACAGAAACTTTTTTTCTGACATGGAATGCATTCCTAGGATTCAGAAAGCCGTATACGATTGCGCAATATGAGGTCTGTGACAGTATGAGGGCGGGCATGAGTCACAAGTCTTCTCGGATTCCACAAGTAATCAATCCCTCACATCATGTTTATCCTATATCCATTTAATGCATGTAATCATGTCAAAGCCTCAATAACTTTTCTTCTCTTGACGAGACTGACGAGTAAGAATCACACGACTGATCGTCACTGTTCGAGCGTGAAGCTGCTTTAAGCTCGCTTCATAGTATGAAAATGTCCAGTTCATTATTGAAAAAATGGTGTTGCGGGTTTCTCCATCCATGCCGGTCCTTACTTTCTACGCCTAATACCATGTCAGTCCCTGGCATGTAAAAGCTAATGCGTAACGCTACAGTATGTTTCATTGACTGCAGCGATCATGACGCATATTCCGGCAGTCAGGATAGGAAGTAATTCCACCCAAGATTAGAATACATTTGCCCAGGATCGAAGACAGAGCCAGCCGAAACCGGTGGGAACCGTTAATGTCTACCTCACTTGATGGACCGAAAATAGTCGCAAAAACGGAGAAGGGGAAGGGAGGGGAAAAAAAGAAGATACTGTCAGCGCAGGCCCAACCCAGGGAGAATGGCAACGTAGAGGCTGCTGCGTTGCCGCTTCCATCTCTCACGGGCCGCTGCCTGGACCTCCGCTCGGGAGTCGTCTCCAGCGGAGCATGAATTCCAGGACAATCAATTGCTGAGCGGATTTCTTCTGCTATCCATTACTGTACTCCCTGCATCTTCCTTTTCTCTCTCTCTCTCTCTCTCTCTCTCTCTGTTCATGTCTTAGAAGCTGCCATAATAATTCATGAAGTCGACCCCCACCTCCCCGGCCACCTTCTTTGGCTTCGGACTCGGCGCGGCGAGTTTGACGAGTAGAGAAAACGAGAAAAACCTGTCTATGGCATCCCGGCCCCAGACTTGTATAATCTCCTCCGACCTGTTCATCTCCCCACGTATATACTGGGTGTCCATACAACTTTGGCACCAAAAAAAAGTTACGACTTTGAAACTAAATACTAACTTGAGTTTTATTCGGATCCGGAAAGGCATTAGAGAAACGATTTCAATACGCGACAATGGTGTTTTTCCGGGCTATCAAACTCCTCGCCTTTAGAGAATCCTAACACTCAAGAAAAGTATGGATGTCTCGGCTGCAGCCAATAGACCCACGAGAAGCATGTTCACGAGAGCTTTACTACATGCAAAAAATGAAAAAGAACGAGATACTCCATGATTATGATTTTCCTTTTTTAAAAAAATACATGTATTTTTTTTAAATATTAATCATGAATATGATTGAGGTCACGAATCCCCAAACAGGTCGATTCATGACAGTCATGATCGTAGCTTGCTTAGGTTTCAATCCAGTTCACTTTTGAGCAATAATACGTTGCCCAAACTCTATAGACACCCTGTATTATATTAATATTCCAGCGATAAAGCATGATCTGGTCATGCAACTTTTCCCCGTCTTACCACTTATATCCTTTAACCTGTTTGTCCCATTAAAAATGCTACATTCATTAAAGGATAAATATATTCAAGTCATATTGGAGAATTCTGTTGCTCCTTACTATCTAACAGCATACACGAGGGCGTGTTGTTTTCTACAGAAAATTCTCCGGCTCCCTGCATATGTATATGAGCATGGGAGTACACAAAGGAGGGGAAGCAAAGGCATGATTTGGGATTCACAGCCATGCATGCATTCGTCATCCATACTGGGAGGTCGAAAGAAAGAAAAAAGGGAAGGGATGAAAAATGGCGAACGACGGGAAAGCAAGACTGGAAGAGAGGAACCTGTGGGACTGGTCTAACCTTCCGGTCCAAGCCCTGCGATAGGGTGCCGGCTGCAGAGGCAGAGGAGGCTTGAGGAGAGTCCACGTCCACCCGAAGGGGCTGACGAAGCTCAGGTTTCGCGTCGAGGACCCCGAGCCCGAGTCCAAGCCCAAGCGCCCCGACTCCCATGCCCAGACGGATCTTCTTCGGCGCCGGACCACCTCCTCCTAGGGTGGATTCATTCCCCGTCCCACTCGTTCCCGTTCCCGTGCACGACGTCGCCAGCCCACCCTCTCTCTCCAAGTAGCTACATCATCCATTCAAAACTGTCATTTTAAACTCTTTTTTTCTTTATAAGTGTAACTCTTTTTTCTTTTTATTCACCAATCCATCCAACCAGACTTTCGCTCTCATGTTTTTTTTTTTAAATAAAAAAATTACTTGATACAGCAAATGCAAGCAGAGTTGTTGTTGTAATCTGTACTTAAAAAAAAAGCATCATTGTCCAATTCACGAGGTCCCTGTTTTCATATACATGTAGAAAAAATTCTCCTTGGATATTTGCAAAGAGACCTATGGGTAAGAGGTACAGGGACGGAAGGAGGGGGGGGGAGAGAGTGATAGGAATCGGGGTAGGCAGACAGAAAGGGACCTTTGACCCTCTTCTGAGAACTAGGTCGCCCGAGGGGGGGAAACGAACCGACACCATCCTTCATTCTCGTCATCATGATTCGCCCAGGTCAAAGGCCAAGGATCAAACGTCGGGCGGCATAGAAAGGTCAAGGATATGCACGCCGGGATATCCCCGAATGAGTTTCTCTCTGATACCTGAGGTACTACAGCAAGCAGTTGAGAAGTTTCCCAGTCGTCTATCAGTCTGATTAAAATTACGTGAAAATACGACGACCCTTGATACTCCTCGCGACCAGCAAAGAAAGAGAAAAGGCAAGAGTTAGAAACCCTGACCTCCGATGATGAGGGAGGACGTCGTGATAGGCGCGGTACGGCGAGACAGGGGGAAATCCGGGGCCGGGACCTCGAGGATGGTCGACATAATCCAACGGATGGAGGAGGCTGCTCCCTCTCGCCATTGATCCAAGGTACTTGCTCCTCACCCCACTCCGATCACCTCCAACCTGTTGCCGAGGACAAGGGAGAAAGCAATTTCATTGTCATGCAGGAGGAATGAATGAAACCTGGACATAAACAGATGAACAGCGAATGATCCCCACAATGATCCTGGCGAATCCTGGCGAAAACAGCGAATGATCCTGGGAATTTAAAAACAAAGCCCCGTCTATAGAAATAATACCTTAACATGATGAATACACCTACATGCCTTCTCGCTCATCGACGCGGAAGGAGGCGTTATATCAATCTGAACTTGCAAATTATTAAGTGAAGAAGGGAAAACAAGTAGTATTGGTGCGGGCAATAGTTAATGTTCATGATGAGTAGTGGCTGGTATTGCGAAACAAAAAAATGTTATACAAAGAAAAACATAGTGGTATCCCATAATAATAATGCCTCCATCGATGATAGATGTACAAAAAAGGCTGCGTGAATATGGATTAGGTGATAAGATGGTATGTAGGTGATAATGACAAAGAATTGCTAATACTGGGGGGCATTCAATTGTGACCCGGGTCGTGTCTCGGGGTTCAAGGTTGGTTTGGATGCACCAAAAGGATCAAGATTGACCTTCATATTAAGATCCACTCATAATCAATACAGGCTCTATGTAATGAATGCTGGCGGCGTGGACAAAACTTTGATGCTAAGTACAAAACCTTGATGCTAAGAACATGAACTCTCTTACTTAAGTGATATGAGAGGGAGATACATTATTTCAAGAAGGATGCTCCAGGTAAGGTTAGATGCTTAGGATCTGCCTAATTATCAGCTTCACGAAATGTATAGACTTGAACAATAATAAATTTGCATGTTGACTGCTGCTGGTTGACTACTTGGTGTAGAATCCCTGGACTCATGCTGCCCCATAAAAAAGTACTTTTATTTGGAGCTACGACAACGAATCGAAGCACTCTCCCGTGAAAAACGTGCAAACCATCCCATCTGCTGCAAAATCCAGACTGTCAAGTCTAACGTTCCAAAACAGGGCTAGGCCATAGACCCTCAAAGCGTGGCTCAAGGAGGGCTTCTGTGCGGACCGTGAGGTAATACAGGGGGGGGGGGGGGGAATTATACTGTAGACGAAAGAAAAAACAGTTGCTCGCATAGGGGAGAGGGAAGCGTGAGCACTCGCCACATCAGACAGACACAAAGCTTCCGCTCGGCACCCATCCCTCCCCATTCGCCTATTACAGAGCTCAAGTTTTCGAATTAGCAGTCCTGTGACCGTGACCTCAACGACTGAAAGGTTGGGTACCTATGGATTACGGTCAGTTGAACCGAAGTTTCAGGCTAGAATTTTCTCAGCAGGTTTCGAAACAGTCTGGCTTTGGAGGGAGGGCAGCACAACTGGCCCCAGGACTGGTCCCTTTTGATCTGGTATAGGTCTACGAGGAAACAGAAATAGTACTTTCTTCCTCAACAAGAAAAAATACCAAATCGTAATTTCTGCGAAAGCTGGACACCCGAAAGCAGCATCATGATACAAAGACAACGTACTAATAACATATATATATATACATATGCAGATTGTCACCATTCCCGGTTCCCCTAGGCGCGGGCGGGTAGAGGAACCGGTACGTCTAGTGTACGCAATATGACTTTCCTCATCAGTGAATTTTAATTCATGGGAATTCGAACACAGTGATCATACGTTTTCTAAATTTTATTTTAAATCGGCAATCGGCAGGGAAAGCTTAGGGCTAGTGTTGTATCCCTGTAAGGATGCGAGAAACGGAGGAAAGTTGGTCTCTCATACTCATATACATACGAAGGGAGGAAGACGAAAAAAATACGTGCACTAAAGCCAAAGGAGGAGCCTCCGTTTTTCTACGCAAAGCGGCAACTTGACGGCAAAGCAACCTAGTCGTGCAAGACTTTTTTTTCTTCCCCAAGTGTGCAGGGCGAGCAGGTGGCTTTCGGGGGAATGTGGGCCAAGGGATTCAGTATGTTGCCACATGTTCTCCCCACCTTCCACGAGCATTTTCTGGCTTTTAGTCGAGGCCTGAGTGTTTCATCGAAAATTGTTTCAACGAGTTTGATCTGTGAATAGCAATAGATGTATAATTAAAAAAATATTTAAAAAAAACACCACTAGTAACAAATTTAAATTCTCTTACATTCGTTACGCCATTCTTGTTCGCATGCATATTCTTGCCTCCTTCCGTGTTTGTAGGAAAGTATCTTTAATCACCTTCCGATCGGAGAGCCATGGATTGGCAATAGAACACGTTAGACACACAGGCTTCCCTTCTGGAAGAATAGCTGATCCGGAAGCAACGTACAGCGCAGAGGGAAATGGACGGTGCATAGACACGATGTATCGCTTCTCGAACGGTCCATGCCTTTCTCAAACACGTTTTACTCGTTCAGGATGGTTTGAACCATGTACAGTACAAGCGGGCGGGTGCAGCCGAGTCGGAGTTCGGGATGCCTACAAGGCAACTGGAGTGTCTAGGCCCCTCTGGGGGATCTTTCTTGCTCATGCTGCCTTAAACCCTTAATGCTCAGGTCAACTACCTCGTCTCATGCATTTTCGTTCTCTCTGGTTATACGGTCGCAAACACTGGTTCGAGCACTCCTTTTCAGTGCAACAGTATCCCCAATAATTACAATTTAAGTGGAGTTAAATTCCTTTTTCACAGGCTTCCCCCTTTCTTCCAACCAACGCCCTCCGCTCCCTATCAACTTTACGAGACCCACTGACGTTAGGCCTAGGCCTAACCCACGGACTGTCTTCGGGTCAGCTAGGCAACCTTTCTTCGCCCGAAAGAACACAAACCTTCGACTTACGGAGCCAATCAGGCCGATAGGGATACATCTTGAGGTTTTCGAGGCATCTCTACGAGAACGTGTAACGTTAGATCAAACTGGCGTTTCTCGAATCGTTTACCTGAACTAACTGCCTCCATAATTCAAATGCACGTTGGACATCATCCTGGTAATTCAGGCATGTCCGTGCACGGAATTTCCACATTCCACCACATCGATCAGCCACCACTCTTTCAATCTCACCTCATTCCACACTACACAAATGGGGTTGAAAGCAGATGACCCAGGCACCGATACAATAGCAGAACCAGTCTTGTATCCGGCATAACTCCAGCGCAATATCCGGCAACCGAGGAAGGCGGGACTGAGCACGCACGATAAATAAACGACAGATAATTTTTCACAGCGGAATGGTGCATCACCAACAATTGGACAGGGCACGTATCTCGTTTAACAAATCTATATCTTTCCTTCGGTGTGGTTATCTCCTCTGAAACCCCTCCAGGTGGGGCATACCGGATGGAAAGGAAATTCATATCAAGGAACGAGATTTCTCCTCAAGCTTGGGAAGTTAGAGCTTCAAATATGCTGGAACGATTTTGAGTTCTGAAGGTAGGCAGCACGCCCAATTTTTATCTTCCAGAGAGGAATAAGAGAGAGCGGAACTTTGAAACGGGAAGGGATTGAAAGGGAACAGACGCGCCCATCAATTTCAAACCCCAGAGGACTCACAGGAATACAATGAATCTTTCGCAGAGCCTTCAACACTCCGGGATATTCACAATTTGAGGCCTTTTCCGACATCAGAAAGTTTTCTAGCAAAGACGATAAAAGAAAGTTGCAAAAGAAAAAGTTTTGAAGAAATCTCGCAGAGCAATGAAAATCTTGCATATAAAACTTTCAAGGGCGTCCTCACCCTGAGAGTTTAATTTGTAAGTCGACTTGCAAAAAAAAAACTGCACAGAAAACTTTATGGTGAGAACGAGGCCTGAGGTCCTCCATTCACATCCTAATGATCACGATGTGTTGCTTTTTTTTTGTTTCCCACACCAACACTGCTGTTTCTCTCGATAAAAAAAAACCATGAAGAGTACAGGCACACCAAAGGCACTCAAAAACCCATGACACCTGCAGATGAAACCTACTTCGTCTCTAGTGATGTATCCATATCACGAGAGTGCAGATACGGATAACCTTCGCAAGTCTAGCCATACTTGTTTACGCATCCCGGCCTAGCGCGATCTCTTACGTATACGTGACGAAGTGCATCGGGTTCAGTAGCTTCAGTCCGAACCCGAGCGATTCATGCCCCAAGCAGTCAAGATTGGGTCTCAGACCGGCTGAGCAGCCGCCGCCACCATCATGATCCCGGACGTGTAACCCAGTATCCGTTCTCATATCGATCACTCTCATTCCACATTCATATTCTCGATGCTAGCTGACTGGGAATTCCGGGTCTGACCCATTGAGAATGCATTTCGAGTCGAGAAGAACGTGTACGAATCCTGGCAACACGACGGTGTTCGGACGAAGATTCCGACACGTCAGATCAGAAAGCACGCAGGCAATCAATCGATTCATTCATTCTCTGCCACTTCAAAGCACACGTCTATTTACCATGTAGGACGAGGGCTAGAGCTCAGGCCCGGAGTGTCTGAGAATCTCTGGAATTGTATTATGAGGTTTTCAGGTTTCCTCTGGATTCGCTACTATGAAGTGGAAATTCCTACGATAGTCGGCCGACTCGTAATCAGAAAGGTGTAATTTACCATGTTTTCCTTGTAGTGAATGATTACAACATCTCTTTGACCGCATATGTCCGAGATACTCAAGGTCAAGGAAGCGATTGGCAGGGGAAAAACTCTTAGCTACAGGCAACAAAGGTTTTTAAATATTACTATTACAGTATGTGGTATTGAAGAGTTACGTGCAAAAATACTCGAAGTAGGAAGTAGACATTCTGCAAAAGCGTTGACTTTTGTTACCCTATTTGTATATTACCATAGATCAATAATCGAAGCCAAATGGCAGACTTCATGAATTATAAGAGTACCTTTCAGATTCCTATCACAAGTGTGTCCATTTTATAATAAAAAAGTGGCTCTTAATTCATATTGTCACTTAATGCAAGAGCGACAGAGTGTTTCCAAATCTTTCTACGTTACGTGAAATTGCGCTCACAAGTGGGATTCCATCCCCATGGAATGGTGAAAAGGACGAGTCACCTAATGCTGATATATACCTCCAATTACCCCGGGAAGGGTACGACGGATGAACCTGAGTCGACGCAAGCTCGAGTTCCTTTATGGCATTGCACGGGTGGCCAGAAAAAAAAGACTTGGGAAATGCGTACAATTTCACAGTACAGCTTCTCAAGAGTTTGCTAAAATTGCTATAGCGCCTCGGTACAGAACATTTATTTGGCTTTCCACTGGTCTGAAAAGATTTAAGATCCGTGCCATAGTTTTCATGTAGTTGTAAGACGTTTTTGAGAGCTAACGTTCGTAAATAAGGCGATGTGCCATTCCAGGTGAATTCCAGGCTTTCACGAGATCGCCAACTCGGTTTGGCGTGAATATTAGAAGCACAGAATATTGCTGTGAGCAACATGTCTCGAATGATAGATGAGGAAAGAGTTGTAGTCGAATGTGCTTTTAGGTAGAAATGTGCAATGCCACAGTCTGATAGTTCCGGTGCGAATGGTCTGTGGCAGCGATTCCGAGACACTTTCGGAAATGACTGCCATGCGATAAGGCCACCTCAGTTCTATTGAAGAGAAGACAAAGAACGCTACGGCTAAAAACTTGAATACGGGAAATTCTGAAGACTCGAGTCTGTTGTGACAGGCAAGCCCGCAATCGGTGGGACTTAAAAGGATTTCGTTCCTTTTCCATGCGGGCAGATCAAGATGATTCGCTAAGGGCAGGGCAGATTCCCTAACCCGAGGAGCCCGACGGGAGTGGGCAAACCGAGGATCATCCCGACATCGATTTCCTCTGGAAACAACGAAGTACATGAGTGGCATTCAAGGCTTGCGAAGAGGGTGAGAGTCGTTCTGAGTTTCTCAGGGAGCGCAAAACGCACGGAGCAGAACTAGGAAGTAGGAGCCAAGTCCGGAGAGCCTTGCATCCAACCACGAACCATAATCAACAAGCAAAAACAAAACCTTCTCTTGCATGTTTTCCACCTGTCACAAGGAATGGAAGGGGGAAGGGGTAAATAAGAGGGAAAAAGTTGGCTTCATTCCCTGGCCTTGAGGAACCAGAGCTCAGCGCAATACCCGTACTACGTTTATTCGTGGATGCGAGGCAAAAATTCGCGCGCATATTTGGATTTTTTATGAACCATCTTGCGAGGGGCAAGGTAAGACTCACGCACACGAGCTGGCGTGACTCACGACTAAACGTCAACTTGCGAGATGGGAGTAGAGCATAGAAAAGAAATAGAACACGAGGACGGGTATTCCTTCTCGGCATCACTGCATGACGAAATTCATGGGAGGGGGGGGACACCAGGGAGGAAAAGCTGAGAGAAGTACAGGAACGAAATTGATCCGAGATGAGCAACCTGAGAGACATCTGTTTTCCTCTTTCCCTTCCTCTCACTCACCCTACCTAAGAGGAACATAGAAGTCGGGGAGTTCTTTATCATGAATTTAACCAACATTACCTGCAACACACCGCTACAACATGAAAGTTCAAATTCAGAAGCATTAGCACTCATTTTATGAAGGCCTCACAGCATTACGGAAATGATAAGCGCACCGGCGGGAAAGGAACACAGAACCGCTTTCGTCCGACCGAGAAGGAAAATATTCCCATTCCACCTACTTCACTTACCCGCCTTTCATTCCAAGTAACCGGTAAAAAACATAGAGGCATTTTAGTTTTGCATGTTGACTATCACAGGTGCTCCCGAAACGTCAGATCCCCAATAAATTGAGAGGTTACGAGTGACTTCAATTGCTTCATCACGATAAGCTTTTTTTTTGGCATCCAAACCACGACAGAGTTTTATATTGTTACGGAGGCTTTATTGCAACTTCGAATGTTGGTTGAATGGCTAAAAAAAATCTCAAAACATACGTAACTTCCTCTTTCATGGAGTTCTATATCGTCAATTACTCTCTCAGGAAGTGGTACTTAACTTATTAAATTTCTGTCTATCCCATCTTCTTCCATTGATTACATTCAAGGCCAAAGCAGATCCAACGATGGGTAGAAAAATAGGATTGCACAGACGCGCCCATTAACTCATTCAAACCACTGAATGTATTAAATACAGAGTGTTTCAAAAGTCGCGCAACCCTATATACAGCTTTTTTTAGGAACTTGAATTGAGTACTGAGCGAATTGAGAGATGAATTTCTGAATGATGTGCTGATAACGTTCAGCATTTACAGTTGAAAAATACGAAGAATACGGGACCCACAATACCTAATCCAATAGCTGATGTGTATGTATTCCAGGTAAATATGTAACAACACTTGTTTATATATAGGGTTGCGCGTCTTTTGAAACACCTTGTATAACCATGGTTACATTTGTTGTTTATATATTAAGATGATTGTATACACGCACCCAGGCAGAGGCGGTGGCAGCATCACGGAATCGTACACTACTCTCTTTAAACCACATAACTGCTTCTCAAAACCCAAGGTTTAATTTACCTGTACATCTGGTTATATCGAGATCCATACAACACTCTGAGCTCGTTTCACTACTTGACATTCTTCTCAAAATGGCAAACGCACTGACTTATATATTCGTTCGTTCTTCACTTCCGGAGCATTCAGTCGGTACAGGCTAAGAGTCGTGAAGCGGTTAGTTTTTATTTTCTTACTAATTTAACTTTTTTCCGCACGTGTGTGATTGATTTATACAGTTGACGTGTGTGCTGGGGAGATATGTTGAAATCCACGAAAAGCACGCCCACATGGTATATAGTTACCTGAAGCGGGGTAGCTAATGCATACTAATACTACAGTCACGAAAAGAAACGAGTAAAGGGGGAAATGGAAGAGCGAGCAATCTTTGCATATTTTATGGTTTAATTTTATGTCCTTTCGACGACGTTCGACAGATCCCACATAGAATGCCACCATATAGACGAATTTTCTATGGGTTTTCCATAAGCAAATGTGACTAGTCCCCTCATTGGCCTCCGTAAAGTAAGTTGGAGGAAGTGAAACTTGTGTTTGCGCGCCGTAGCCATGACGCTTCTTCCGCGTTGAGTCCCTTCCATTGTTTCCAATAAGCTCGTTCAGAGTGACCTGAGCAGATCCTTCGCAGGAGTTTAAAGCGAACAGACCATATGAACGTGAATGAGTCGTTTCCAAAGCTCGTGCCGACTTTTTCTTAATTATTTTAGACTAATATTTGAGAACTAGCAGACGAGTTTGAAAATGACTTTTTTTTTAAAGCCATGAACTTCATCTCACAAAATAAAAAAAAAACAACTTTATTTTCTTGCGCTCATCTCCACTATCGTAACTCGTTCCAAATAGCTCAAATAGCTCATCGTTAGTCGTTCCAAATAGCTCATGGAAAACGCCCTTGGTCCCAGGTATCAATGTCCCGAAAACCTGTCAGGTTGCATTAGAAGCCATGTGGCCCATAAGGGGTTCAGTATGTCATCACAAACCTTCAAAACACTTGCTGATATAGTATTCCCTTGTGCATTAAAAAATGCATAAGTAATGAGGAGCGCGCAGAAAATAAAAACCTGATAATGATTTCAATGCTAATGCAGGATAATGGTGTATTGAGCTCTCGCTGAGTGCTAAGCTGCATGCAGTAGCCTTCATTCGTGCATTATGAATGTAAATGTTGAGGGGGGGGGGGGAAGTAGGGAGTGAGTGGTACATTCTACAGTTCAATGCTGTAAAACACGGGGATATTGCATGATTTATACAAGAAATGTTACGATGAGCCCATAAAATATTAATATAGCTCCAAGTTTTGCGCTGCATGTAAAATACTAATGTGCATACTAAGTGAATCAATCGCAGCGCATGGTATCAATCCATTGATTTATAAAACGTTTTTCCAGAAGACAGAGAAAAATTCATTATTTCAATATCCACAATACTCCCTTGGTTATTCAGTACTCAATTTATCCTGAAGGAATTACCAATATCGGGTGCGAGAGCATCGAACAAAAGAATTGCAAAATAGGACGGATAGACGTGTCCGTGAGATTTCACGTCTTTTATGAAGGCAACTACTTCATTTCATAGGATAAGGCCCATTAAGATTTAAGTCAAATAAATTTAATGTCAAAATGTCTCATTACAGTCCATTCCCGATGAAAGTTCTCGCATACCTCTTAATAAAGGAGGCCAGTAAACTTAGAGGATAAAGCCGGGGAAATAAATTCCAGGATTTTTATCTTATTCTACCCTTGCTTCTCAGTAGGATTATAAAAATAGATATGGTTATCGGAGGGTAGTATGTATTTTACACATGATTTTATTGTGGTCCCTTGAAAATAAGATCTCTGTGAACAACATGCCCCTCCTTGCGGATTCTCCCCTTGCACCCGAATAACAAGTCCAGTTAGGTACCCACCCTATGGCTACTTCAATAAAAGTGTCGGGGATTCTATATCCGAGAATTTTGATCAGGAACAGACTATACATGTGAACAGACTTCATCTTTGAGTAGACGCGAGAGGTCCTAATGCTTCTCCCTTCGTCACTCGTCACGCACACAATTTTCTTTTTTCCGGGAAAAAAAGGTTTCCACTTCGCCGATAAGGGTCATGAGTGAGTAGGGAAGCATTGGATGATAACCTTTAATGGGATGTGTGTGTAAGATTCGGTCGTTTCGGCTTCGCGATTTCAGCTTCGGGGAGCTTCCCTTGAGAAACGTTCTCACACGACCGAGTCCGTTCCGTCATTATCCTAATCACGGACCTTTCCAAAGGGAGTAGGCCTCTCCCCTTCCTTTTCCTTTTTCCAAGGAGACAAAAGCATGGAACGCCATTGTCAGGTATCGCCAATGACTTAGGAACCTCACACCTTCCCCGTCTTCCGCATCGTTACAAGATTAAGGATGGAGCTCGAATTCGCGATGCCACCCGGGAGGTTTCCAGGAGGTAAGGTCCGGATATTGCATTCTAACGTCTACTCTAGGTTGAGGCGAATTGCCAGTGAATGAAGGCAAAGATATGCAGAATGAATGGATGTTGATGAAGCGCGAGCATCGATCGACCTCTCCCTACCACACATGGGATGGGGGCAGGGGCATTACCCTCTTCTCCCCCATAGTCGTCCCCCCATTTTCAACTCCCTCTCCTGTCACTACCACGATTCCGTCTGTAGACGATTCCCACGCAAGCCTGGGGAAAGGATTGGAAGCGAGCCAAGGAGACAGAGGGACGTTTCTGCCAAATGCATCCATCTATCTCTCTTCCCTGCTCCTATCCCATCCTGTCTTCTTCCCCATCTCCCAAGTCCTTCTTTTCCCGGTTCTTCCCCATGTTCTTTAGGGGTGACCCTCCCTGGTATATCATGTCTTTCTGACTCGAAAGGAAAATCATACGCATGCTCATGCTGACGGGACGAATTCTCCTCTCTTCGATACGAACATGTTATGGATGTCACAGATGTGCGTCCGTCACCGTGACTCCGGGGAATTCGTTAGACAACGGTGACGAGAAACTCACGGGAAGTTGTCGCTGTGGTGGATTGGGATGAGGCGGTGGGGGATGGAGATAGGTGGGTGCCCCAGACGTCACGTCCCCCCTGGTCGAATAGACGAGAGAGGGACCCGTCGGAGGAGGTGGAGGATATCTGGTGACAGCGGCAGTCGGAGGCCCCGAGGGTAAATAGGGCCGTGTCTCGACCGAACCCGGGGTCCCGGGGTTCAGGGCGTACATATACGCCGCCGCCGCCGCTGCTGCTGCCACACTCGCCCGATGATTCTGAGCCTGACTCAATTTCTTGTAGGGGGTTCCTCCTTCTCCTCGTCCCCGGCTTCCTCCTGTCACTGTCCCATCAACTCCAGCCCTATTCCCCAACAAATAAAAAATCCAATGCATACAGATTAAAATGATACATTCAAATGCTTAATCTTAATAATGTTTACTACCGTCGTTCCGGACATTAAAGAAGTTCAACTCTACCCACAGACTAACGGCGTGGGAGGGAGAGGGCAGCAAGAGCAAAAGAAACCCGAAGGAAAAGGTGTTTGATATCCAGCCATATGGGGATTTGACTATAAGCTGAAGTTTGATATCATAGCGTGTATCATAGGCAATTGTAGGCTTCAAGCAGCTACCATAAAGTGTACTTGGGATACAAGGGTGAGGGGTTCACTACATGCCTAGCAAGGCAATACGGAGGAAAAGCCCTGAAGACCTACGGAAAGAATCCCACAAACATGTATAATACCTAATAATATACCGCGCTCTAAAATAACTAAAAGAACTACTTCACGTTCCAAGATTCTCTGCAGTTGTAGCACCAACTGAGAAATTCTTTTGCACCATGCACATATAGCAAAATTATTCTCTTTTTGAAAACTCTTGGGCTCCCAGACCACTACTCAGGGTTCTCATCCTATTCCTATCGCATACTGCGCATCTGTTTGGGGAAACGGAGCCCTACAACTTCAAAATATACATATACTATGCTCAGTTTTTCATTTAAAATTAGCGGTTGGGTAAGGAAATTCAGTCACGTGTCTCATACTATGGAATAAGTAAAATGGGATCGGTCGAGAAAGCTAATAGAACACACGACCTGTGAGCATTCTTGAAAGGCCTGAGAGCAGGCAAGGCCGCAATTTAAATGAAATCCATATTTGCAATATCCATACTGAAAACTCGACACTGAAGACCTTGTTGTACCTAAATGCAAAAAGGTGTGTCGATTGTTCAGCTGTCTTCTAGTCAAAAGGAACATTTAGAAATAAAAAGGCCCCATGATAACAGGCGCAGGTTTTTTTTTCATCTTACGCAAGATGAAAAAAAAGCCTTTGAGTTCAAAGAGTGTAGAATCTAGCTCAGCCAAAAGGGGTACTTTAAAGTCCCCCAGCAGGTAAGAGGGAGAAGACTCGAACCGGAATCCTTGTCTTCGAGGTATGTGTGCTGCATCAATAAATTAACTCGGAAACAACGAAGAAAAAAGTACACTTTCTAACAAGTGAAGATTCAGCCTTTCATCGTGACTTTGTTACATGTTTTCACACGTGTGTCATAAAAGGCAAACCCACAAAGGAATATTTAAGTTAGCTAGATATTGAGACCTGTTGCACATTTGTGCTTCATCAATGAACGAACATTTTCTCAGCATTTGTACGAAGCCTACCTCTGACCGAACTCTAATCGCTGGGCTCTCGAAAGTGGCGGGGGAAGAACAATTTCGATACCGTCGGAAAATAGTAAAGGGAGTCTGGTTGGTTCTAGACAATCGCAAATTCCTGTCGAACGAAATTTATGAGCTAAGACGTCAGTTGCCGCGTTCCCATCGGACCGAAAAAAATTCGGGCTTGGTCTAGACTCTCACACCAAAGGTTCGGCATTTCAAACAGCTACGGCTCATTTCAAGACTGCAGTCCAATAGCAATTCGGCTCCAGTTTTAGTTCAGTTGCAGTTCCTGTTGGAATTCTTTACGATGAAAGTCGACAAGAGCACAATGGATTTTAAAATCAGACGAAAGTATGAACTGAAACTAGAACCAAACTGCCGTTATAAATCATCAGCCCATGTGTCACCATACTTCCTCGAAACTCCACGAAAGGACAGAAAAACTACATGGATGAAAGAGAGAGGAAAGAGCAGTGACCATTCCCACTCAGGACATCATGAGGATGACAGATCCTCCCTTTTCAATCGTGCTTTCTCACGAGCCGTTGCTATGGCAGCGGAGAATGAGATCCCATTTTGCTTCCCTTCCTCTCTGCTATGAGGATTCTGTTCACGTGCTCGGTCGTCCGTGACGGAAATCACGCACCAATTCAACGAATTCATCTGGCTTCGACCCAACTCAAGGAGGACGAATCATAATACAGCGCTGATCAGATCCGATCAGATTTGATCCCAGTTCCTTCACACAAGCACAAGTTTTTACAAAATTTACACACCATCACAGCAGCTTATTGCTCAAAATAAAGTTCATCAAACCGACTGAGGAAATTCATCATGATCAAATACGAAATTTAAGCTGGAACAGTGAAAAATCTGAAGAGACTCGACGTCAATTACCAAGACTGGGCAGTTCAACTATGAGAGACGCCAAACTTGAAGTTCCGGTCAAATATTCTATGGAATCTTTGAACGATACTACGATGGATTGTTTACAACCTTCGTACTTTGGTCTCAGCGTAGTACATGAGAAAAAGTCCTGTTTCAAGTGGCTTCGCCCATTTACGCGACAATGTTAAGCCCCCTTTCATCAGCTGCGAGCTATTTCAAGCCGCTCAGATTGAGGACGTTTAGTCGAAGAGAAATGGGAAACGGGCAAGCTACTCATTTTAATGAAAGCTTCTTAACCCTTTCCTTAGCGAATTAAGGGATCGCGGGGAAAATCCAATATAAGCTTGCTCGCAACTGAAATGCTTCGCTATTTCACATACCATACTTGAAGGCGGTATTTTCTTAAAGTTAAAATTATGTCCCCTCAAACCTTGGCCACACTAAAGCTAAACGCTTCGAACCACTATGTGCATTCGAAAATTTGCCTCCAAATGACATTAAGCAATAGGAAAAACATAACACGTTAATGGGATTCAAATGTTTCATTACCCAGAAGGATATTTTTTTGCAAGCAATAAAAAAAAAACATTTGCGAGGGCTCTTTGCTTTTAAGCTATCGTCATTGTGGCATGTATCGACTGGCATATTTGGGATTTATTGCGGTAAACGGGGCATGTAGATGTTCCTCGCTTGCTCTCCCCCTCTCCCCTTTCTCAGCGAGAGAGAAATTTCTTTTTCGGGGGAGGACAAATTACACTTGCCCCTTTTCCCAGCCTTTCGTTCTTTCTGTATCCATTGACATTGGTAGCGACCCTCAGCCTTTTTGACCCACGGCCCGAGGCCGTGGGTTCAAGGTTTGACACCTGGGCCCGTGGCCATCCGCCCCCATCTCTCTTCTGTCTTCTTGCATGCTGCATTACATTGGGAGCATGTGGGCTGGATATCAATTCGCTTTCTCTCTTCTCCTTTCTCCACCCTTCGTCATTCGAGTCGAACACAAGGACTCCAGCTTCCACTTCACCGACATGACTCGCCAAAAGAGAGCGCAAAAGAAGGCATTGGAAAAAAAAGAGAAGGAAAAAAAAGAAAGATGAGAGAAGAAGAAAGCCAAGTCACGATGGCCCATAGGTCGGACAACAGAAGACCCTCAATCGAAGTCTTCTTGCCCTGACTCATCCCCTTCAACGTCCGTCATTACTGGGAGGGGCTTCAAACTCCGGTCGAGGAAACGGGCCTCGAGGGTCGGAGATGAACGAACCTTTCCTCCCGCTCATATACGATTACATTTTGCCGGCGCGCTTCTAATCGTTTCGAGATCGACTACGCTCGTGGTACCAGTGGGTCCAAATTGGAAATCGATAACATCGAGAATGGCGCACTACCCTACAATGGTACATGAGAGAACGGGCAGAGAGAGATGCGAGTGGGAGGTGGAGAAAGAGATCAAAGGAGGAGGAAAGAAAGAAGAGCTTTGGGTTCGGGTTCGAAGCTTCAGGCTCCAGTAATTACTTTGCCTGCTCCCCTATTTCTCAGAACGGGAACTCACAGAGAGAGAGAGAGAGAGAGAGAGAGAGAGAGAGTCTCACAAAGGCCGGCGCTGAAGAAACGACCCCCCTAGCCCGCCCGACTATTGTCGAAGGGGGGACGCGTCCCAAGCACCAAGCCCTGGCATCGATAAAGAGTCCGGGCGAGTCCATATCCCACGACCGGATGAGGGGCGGTCGGATGGTAGCCACTCCCTTCTAACACCGTTCATACCACACTTGTCTAATACGCGTATTAGACTAAAAACGTATTAGATTAAAGACTGCGAACGTGACATGACGAAACGAGAAGAAAGGCCGAAAGAATGGAAGATGGAACAAAAAATCTCTCCTGATTAATTTCCCATTTTTCTACGTGGAGAGTAAAAATTAATATACACATGGGCGTAATACGACAAAAACAAGGAGGATCCCACAAATTCCGTTTTCCCGACTTCCCTCCTATATAAAAAAAATTGTAAACTTGCTGCATGTCTTCGTCTCTCACGCTCTCTCTCCTTATGGTGGACTAAGTCCACCAGTTACATTTCATTGCTTGCTCTTTTGCAAGTTAAAAACTAACCATGACAGAAATAATGCAATGGGAAAAATTATATCGGCCGCTATGAGCCCTGTCAAACCCAATTTATTTCTATGGCACTAAACTCGGTATTCTCTCGTGAATCTTAAGCATAAGCATCGAAACAGCAACTAAACAAGCCATAGGTATCTGCAGATAGTAAGATTCGCCAATAAGGCCGAGTGGGTCGATATTTTACTCATTGGAACTTCCTATCAAAACCAAATTTTCACAGATGACTCGATAGCAGCACAGGTTCGTTATGAACCCATGCAGGAAAAAGAATTAGAAGACGCTAACAGATTAATGAATTTCTTGACGGTTCACGTTCTATCAGATACAGAGAAGGAAAAGCCCCTATGCCTTTTATTCGGAAGCACAATGGAAAGGGGAAGGGAAGAAACAATGAGGACAGCCCTATCCTATCGCCGATCAAGAATTGCATCACCCCGGGACAAGGACAATGCAATGGGGTTCATGTCTTTCCCCCCGAATGTGACGGACACTCACCTGTGGATGGGAGAGGAATGGGGTGGAGGGCGAGCCGAAGGTGGTGCGTGATAGAGATGATGCGGGGGTGGAGGCGGAGGTGGCGCTCCCTCCGACAACGTCCGAATCGCCGATCCGTGCATTCCACGTCAACACATCGACCACCACGATCTCTCACTCATGCACTCGTGCCTTTTGTACGTAACAAATAATAAAAGCGTGCGCTTTTCCTAGGTTTTCTCTACTCCGTCCAACTGGGATCGAGTCCCAACATCTGTCGAAGGAAAGGAAAAAAAACAAAAGGTGACATCGGGAAGCGAGAAGTCTGATGTTCACATTCGCACTCAACGAACGAGTGCATGCGGTCGTCCGGTAACCAGGTCGATCACCGGGCAACAGGTGAGAGGTGAAGAGGGACGAGTATAGGCTTTCCCTTCTCCAGAGACTCGTCCTTTCCGAGCCCCTCACTTGTTCGGTACACTGACGCCCGATAACACATTTACTAAAATAAATAATTAAACACTGAGTTCGTTTCGGTGCCACGACCAGGGCCCACGGGGGAAGCGGTCACGGTGAACAATCATGGGATGGGTAATCGGATATCATTCCTCGTTGCACCCGCCTTCACATGGGTGCTCAACCTGAAGCCGGAAGAAGATGACACTCATCCCATACAACATCCAGCAGGTGAATCCAAGTCGAAATGAGCACAAATGTTCATACGTACGGCTCCAGTCCTGTCCATTCAGAAAAAAAAATAGAAAACTTAAGCCGGAGTCGAGAACTACTGAAAAACTTTTCCGGAACCAACTTTCTCGATACCGTCGGCTTCAACTCAATATCAACTCAAGATTCTATCCTGCAGGGTAGCTTTGTCTCCACTAAGCATTCCAAACCCGAGTGAGATCCTTCTAGGATCGATACTTTTCCCTGCAAGGAGATCCTCCTAGAATAGATAAGCGAAATGAACTGGTCTTTCGAAGCTCTCGATGGACCTTTTAATATAAGAAAATGGGAGACGTTAGAATTAAAGGGATACCACGGCACGGCACGGGAGTCTTACCCTAGTCCTACTGTCATTCGTCCTTCACACGCTCTTCCACGACACGACGAATGCATTCATCTGGCTGGTCGCTAACGACCACGATCTCGGCCGAGTTTATCTAACCTCTCCACACGACATTCCAAAGGCGATGGAATTCAAACGCCGTTTGATAGCGGGGCGAGGAAACTTTGCTCGCATGGGCGCCTTCGTCTCGCGGACCGGCTATCGTCCCTATCGGACCTGCACGGAAAGAGCGTAGCGAGGAATATGGCATCGGAGTCGCTAATGCGTGGATGAGAGAAACCAGGAACGCCCGGCAGAGCCTAGGTAACTCCACCCTTAACCGTGAAGGGAAAATATAATAATGGGACGGCTGTCGAATACCGCCAATTCGGGTCCTCGTGACCCTTGTTAAATTCGTGCAGCATGGCCTTCTCTTACGACGAACAGACAGTTCGGCTACAGACAGCAAAGCGTGAGTTAACGCGGCACTCCCACCAATGTTACACTATACAATCCGGGCTGCAGCAAGATTTAGGCTAAGGTCCAAGGAACCTGTCGAATTCGGAGACCGCGCTGAGAATCATGTTCGTCATCGAAAAAAGAAGGGGTTTCACGTCTCATACTGATAACGAACGAATGGCAAACCCTTCTCGTTCCGCAAGTCCCAAGAGAGCACGGTTGCTTCACGTTCGCAGCTTATTCCATAGTTTTACGGTGTAATACTTATATTATAGCGTGCTCGCTAAGTCCGGACGGACTTCATTTCTTCCCGTGCAAACGATAGGCATCGCAAGATGGCTTCCGTCACGCAAATATGTATTCGTACATATTTGCGTGTGGAAAGTCATGAGACGGTAACAAAAATTAGCGCCGTTGCCATGAATGAGATGACGATGCGTGCTTCCGAGGTCGGCAACCTCCGACTGTTGAATCCAGATATACGGCTGGTTTCAAAGCGGAAACAACTGGTGTTTGTCGAAAGGTTTGGTGCAACCGAGAAAAACGGACGTGCTGGCTGCACATCCGACCCCGACTGCCACGGGATCGACAGAGGTAAAAAGGTGCGGGGGACATTACGTTCTATTTTCGCTCATCCTGCCTCCCGTAGCAACTTCCAAAATATTATTCACTTTTCCGAAGTCAAGATTCCCAAATCCATAGGAGCATTCAGGATCGAAAGCCTCCAACTCCACGAGTTCTCCCTTGCATCTGACCCATGATTGCGAGGTCATCTAATCACGAATGGTGGTTGCAAAAAAATTCCCTACGGGATCCATTGCACTCACGAATAAACGAATCACGGTCCTACGTTGCATTGTATTAGCTCCGGAGAAAATGAAGCTCGCAAGGACTTGCCATTCCGTATAGCCAGCAGAAGAGATGAAGTCGGCGGTTCGTATAAAACAGGAGTTTCGTACAATAATAATTTTTAATTTACACCGAATGACCCCATTACTTCCTATTTCTTCTCTGAATTAGGACCAATTCTGTCGATTTCCTTCCTAAAATCCCTTCGAATGTCTCTCAACACCCATAAGTATTTAAAAAGGCCAGGTCCAGAATAAAAAAGAGTCGGAGCGTAAACCCCGAGGGCCCGTTTCCAGACCTTCACTTCCATCGCTCCTCTTCACGTCCCGTCCAAGGGTATGTTTAGAAGGACCAAGGGACAATATAAAACTTCAGCTTCGCAGTATGATAGTCTGACACCGTCGGCGGGCGTCAAGCAGACACGATGGAGCGTCGATTTCCCGAACTAACCTAAGTTATTTCTAATTGAAAATATAAAAAAACCCTCAACACAGTAACTGTGCTTACAGTGATTTACGGTGTTTTTCACTTGATTCAGACACGCGTACATGGGACGTTCCTCGTGCATGAGTGTAGAAGTCAAGTGAAAAAGGTTCTAACTGAAATCAAGTCAAGTGAATAAGCATTTTCATTTTTTGTATATACATACGTAAAAATCGCCAACAATCTGGAAACCGACTCTCTATGGTACCTCGGATGCCTATTGGTTCACCCGCTTTTCCGTGGCACAGGATAAAGTTTGTTCTAAGTAAAACCTATCTGGTTCGGTTACCTGATATCTCACACATACACAGTATGTCGGCTTGGACTCCCTCTACTGCTACACAGTCCTGATAGGCTGAAAAAGTAATCTCATTCACGCAACCGATGATAGATACATCTCAAGGATATCACGAATGTGTGAGGAACTGATATGCGACTGCCTAGCTGGGACCAGTAAGTTTCAAGCTGTGCCTTCCCTCTCACGCGGGCCTCCTCGAAAAGGACCCACGCCAAAGGAAACGGGTACCCATCTACGTCTCGCTCCGATTTAGAAGGCAAATCTGCTTATTCCTTTTTGGGATGGGCCTGGAAGCACATCTCAGAACGAGTTCCAGGGTGGGCGGAGAAGAAAACCATCGCCCTCGAACGGTAGATCCGCTGCAAGTCCATTCGTCTTTCGGGCCGCCAGACCATGATAGTCTGTCGTACCAGCTATCATTCCACCCCCCTACTGAACTCGTCCAGGCCTCTCGTTGACACGGAGTCCATGCCACTGCATCGTCCTCGAACATTTAAATGTCGGCATCATTCTATAAGTGCGGACGCATCCCGAGGACAGGAAGTCGGCTTCCTCGAGGGAGGCCTGACAGGTCTCCCCGCAACGTTCACTTCGTTTGCGTACGACTATCAGCGTCGAGGCTAAGGTGAGGCCAATGCACAGGCTATCCACCTACACGTTTAAAGCTGCGCTTCCCGGCTAAACCCACGGGGAGAATTCGCGAGCCGAAGGTCACTTTTTCGATTCTTGGTTGCACGGGCGCAAGATATGACCCGTCCAACAAAATATGGTCGCTAACTCCCGTTCTACTCGCGACGCGGGAATCGCCAACTTCCGTTCTCACGTCGGCACCCCATCCAGGGCATCGTTCCCGTTTTTCTTTCTGCGACTTCATGAGACTAACAATTTCACCGTGGAAAACATTCGCAAATATTATGTTCCTCATGGCCATCTCTCATGCAACTTCAGACACGTTTCTTTGCCAAATGTACGAAATAATAAGTATAGTATATTAAGTTATAACAGGGTATCTACCACATGCTTAAACACGACTCCTCATTCGGGCGCCGATGGAAACATGGCAAACTCGGTCCAAACAAGAGAAAGAGGCTCGGAAACTACTAGAACTGGGGCTGGGAATTTGTTTGAGGAAGGAGTGTACAAAATTATCTACAGAGCATTTCGCAACGTTTGTAATTTTCCAATTTAGATCATTTGGGCCGCCTTCGCAGCATTCAGTATGAAAGTCATCAGAGCGACGACTATGACTCATGGATGTTCTCGTCTAACTTAGAGGTTCCAACCTCGGACCCTGCTTATTGGATTCGGCATTCGACATGAAATATTTGTTCCAGGCTCACAAGAATGCATGTGGCCCAGGGTCACGCTTATGCTTAGCGAACATAATTTGGTACCTTTCAACCTCATTCTGCGCATTTTTATCCCGCGTCCAAGTCTTACGACTAGCCTACGAATTTCCTGCATGAAGGCGGCAACTACAAGAACACTTGCCTGTCTTACCTTGGCCACATTGGAGTCGAGTTTAAGCACGGTTAGGAAACATTGCAGGTTCTAGGCTTACCCAAGGAGACAAGGCAAAACAGTGACGCTTGTGCTCGCCTTTGGGGCCTTTCTTTCAATTCGGCTCACGAGAACCGAGTTATTGACTAGGCCTAGGCATCACAACTGTAACGACTGGTAAATGGAGGTGATATAGGTCTAGTAGGTCCGCCGGGAGCAGCACTTGGGCAAAGAAAACAAGAGGGCGACAGAAAGGAGGCTTGTGACTCACACCATGCCACGTCAGCGTCACCATCCTCACACGATTTCTCCATCTCAAGGGAGGAGAAAACAATTTCAGAAATTCTGGTGCGACACGGCAGAAAAAAACGACGGCGAACGAAGAGGCAAACAGGTTCGACTGACTGTCAGTGAGAGAGAAAGAGGAGAGAGGAGAGGAAATGGAAAGAGAGGAAAAGAGAAGAGGATAGGGGGCCGTCTCTTCAGTACCCCGGAGGGGGGCCTGCAGAGAACGGGGGCCGATTCCGCAGAGCCCATTTGTCATTCTGACAAGGGAGATTTTGTTATTTTGTGCTGAAGGCCGTGGTTGGCATGCGTGAGCGGAGAGGAGGGATACTAAAACGCAGCGTTGCCGCTTTCCCTCCATCATTCCGGATGTCTCTCTCGCCCGCGGGGCATTCCGGGAACACCTGCTGCCCTGATGGCGGTGAGGGACCTGGCAACGTCGCTCTCTCTCTCTCATAACTGGCCTCCATTGTTTCTCACCAGAGAACAGACCTCATCACTTCACGATATATTAATGCTCAGTGGAGAAACAGGTCCAGAAGGACTCACTGCGGTTGCAATCTTTTCTCACGCGTGACATCCGAAAGGATATACCAAGAACTACACGTTGTTAGTAATTTCCAAAGGTAAAATCGGATATCTTCAACCTGTAACCCTTCCTTTCCAGATGAACGTGATCTGAGATATGCAATGAAGGGAAGAAAAAAAAACCTCAAGGCCTGAGGACAAGAGTCCGGCCAAAGAACCCTCATATATCAGGCCTCAACCGTCAAGGCCCACGGGCATGGCATTCCCAAGCGGGAGGGGGTAAAATGGTGAATCTCGGGAGTCGA